AGAACATTCAAATGCAAGGGGAAACTTGCTAAGAGTTAGTACAGATGACATCAGTCACCTGACTCTCACGGGCTCTGGTGTGATCATCATCCAGGAGTCAGTCAGGTTGTGTACCAGGAAAAAATCTCTTTGGGTCCTGTTTTTAAAAGAAATTTATCTTCTTTTACTGTTTGCTGCCTTCAATTTATTTGTTTTTTACATTCTGCAAGTTTAAAAAATAAGTATTAGCATATGAGAATCCTGATATTGAAGTTTTAAAATTTTTTAATTGGCTATCATCAAGTGAGCTAGCTAAAACTTTCTCCAAATCTTATTTATTTGGCTTGATATTGTCCTTATTAAATCCTAAAATAATGCCCTGCTTGTGGTAGGCACTCAGTGAATAACTAAATAAAATTTAAGTTGTTTCGTAGTCCAGCCTTAGCAAAATCATAAATAATTATGGACTGAACCATAAACAGATACAAAACAAGTTAAGAGAAAGTTGCACTTTTAAAAGTACCTAAAGTTTTGAGTATGCTCAGTGATAGACTCTTGCACCATCCTAATCTACCCTTTGTTTTTTATACCTATGGAGAAATAAATGGTATATATATTTTTAAGAAATTCAGGAAAGACTAAAAGGTGAAAGGACAGTAAGAGATAGTTCTCCAAAGGAAAGAAGGAAATGTAGGAGAGTCTTCCTTAGTTTAAATTGAAGTTACATTTCCTTTTCTCTCGGCTACTAAGATAATGTAAGAAACCTGGAATGGTGAGATCAACAAAATTAATCAGTTCAAATAGTAATACAGAAAACCTCAATTGTATTCAAGTAAAAATAAAACTTGGTTAGTATAAATAGTTTTCTTTGCTTATTAGTCCAGTAGACTGAAACTTTGCAAAGTACCATGAAGACCCTGATAAAGACCAGTGATGTCATGGTTATGGGTAAGCTATTATATTATTGAATTTCACATGATTTATCCAGTTTTTAAAATTTGCAGTCCTTCTTTGATGCTCTAAACTTGATTATATAGCAGGGTTTATTTAATTCTGTGTTTTCTAAACAGGTATCTTCTGACACACAATCTTACATTGTAGCTAATCTATAAACTGGGCATAATAATAGTACCTACCCCACTGGTTTGTTATAAACAGGTTATAAATATGAAAAGCTCCAAAATGATGCTTGACACATACATAGTGAGTGCTTATTATGCAAGCATTTGTTATTATTGTTTACTTTTGTTGTTCTTATTACCTGTGTACGAGAACTGGAAGTGAATAGCAAAAGGGGAAAAAAGTGCCTCTTCCCATCAAAGAGTCATGGGGGATTGTGGTTTATAAAAGGAAATCATTCTAAAATGTTTATAAGATTTATGATTTAGTGGTTCAGAATCACTAGATTGATTCAGAAATGGATGATTGTGTGTGTGTGTTTAGAACAATGTCTGCCATATAATAGTTACTATAGTATAATTGTTGTTAATTAATTTTTTTGCATTATCAGGCATTTGAATTTGAGTACTCTCTTACTAAAGTTTCCTGCAATTAAGTCTGAAAAAACAGCTTTTATAAAACTGTTGAAAAACAGAAATGTCCAGTGTTCAGAAATAAAAATCCTAATAAATATTTTGGTAGCCAGTACTGTGACTTTCTGTCTTCTTTTTGTCAGCTTTTCCTTAAACACAGTTATAAAACTGATTCATTTAGGAGCATGATCCCTGTCCTCAGAAATCTTGGAGTAGAGGAACCATGTTTTTTATGTTTTTAAGTTCCCCGATCCCACATGCCGAATATTTGGTAGGGGCATAAAAATGGGAGAACAAATATAATTTTCAAGAAATATTCTGTCTTATAGTATATTTTAATAGCCAGTTAAGTAGAACTCTGTACAGAGTCCTTATGAATGACTGAGCTTGGGGGCTAGTGATTATATCTATATGTAATAGAGATGTATATGAAGTTTTCTTGTGTTTGATTTTGTTGTAAAATAATACTGCTATAAGAGAGGTATAGAAAGCTACTTGAATGGATAATTTACTGGGTTTACATATTAATTTATTCTAATACTCTGGATAAGAATATGTGATATAAACATTTCTTGCCATATTTGGCTAGTTTAGATTTTTTTTTGTTTTGAAGATTTTTAAAAATTTAGTGAATAAAACAGAACGTTGCAGATAACTGAGTGCTGTTTCTTTTCTTCCCCTACTCAGTTGTGATTTCCCTCCCTGTTCCCCATCTGAGAAGCAGAAATTATCATGAATTTGGTGTGTAGCCTCCCATTTCATGTTTTCTTACTTTTACTCTATGTGTATGTTATATATATGTAAAACTACTCTTTTAGTAATTGTTTAGTAGTGCATATAAATGCCATCTTGGTGTCTCATTTTGCATCTCACCTTTAAGTTGTGTTACCTGATGATCAGTGTATTTGAGTTTCTTCTATATATTTATAGGCCACATGGGTTTCCTCGGGTATTTTGGGGTTTTTTTTTTCTTTCTTTTTAGCCCTTTTTTAACTTTGGGAATTATTTATTCATATTTATTGCACATTTTTCTAATGGTTGATTGTATATTTTTCTACTTGGTTTATGTGCTCTTTGCCTTGATTTTCCATATATTCTGAAAGACCTCCCTTTGTGATTATGAGACATTGCTAGAATTTCAACTGTAGACTTTGGGTTTGGAGTAATTCAGCCCTCTTGAGTATTCACTTTTTAAGCTAAAGCATTTTATCGTTTTCCTGTACCTGTTTGCTTGCCATCACTCCTTACTGTTTTACTAGTACATTTCAGTTACAGGGAATTTTTTTCCCTCTTTGGTGATGAGAGTGGTAGTGATATGAGAAGGCAGAAGTAATAAGAAATAGAAAAATGAGTAAAAATTTGACACGTTTATAAAATTAATACAGCTATGTGTAAAATATACTCATGACCCTTCTTGGTTTTTTGTTTTACTTGAAATACATTCTTGATCTAGCATTATGTAGCCAGTAAACAGATAATGCTCATTATTATCTGATTAGGGGTGGGGGTGTATGTACATGGTAGGGGTCTACTGTCCTATCCACCATTATACATGAGGTCTCTACAGTGCTGTTAGCCACTGGATTCTTGAGCCAGGGCCAGATACTGTTACTTTCCAGAGCTACTGCACTAACAGTTGAAACCTTCTTCCTCCAGCGCCACTGGTGCTTTGTTATCTTCTGGCAGGGTGTGGCAGCTGATGGCAGCAAGGGCTTGGAGTTCCCAAGCTGTTTTGCAAGTGTCACAGAACCTTTAAGGTTAGAAAACCTTCCTCAGGGAACATCCTGGCCCAGATTTCTTTGAGCGTCTCTAACCTCTGTCTTAAAAGTAGGATCAGTGCCAGATGCAAAGCTTCATAACTCTTGGCCATGGGCTTGAAGTCTTGGCTGACTTGATAGAGGAATCTTGGCATGAGTCTTGTGGAGAGAGGTGCCATTTTAGCAGAGCCTCACTAGGAACTCTTCTCTTAGAACTGAATCTGATTTTTTTTTTTTAATAGTTTGATATAAGTCAGTGAAGAGACTTGAGTTCTTAAGTCAGTGTAGACTGACTTCAGCCCCTAATTTATCAAGTTCAGAAATCTTTGAGGTCAGAATTAGAAAGGCTATAAGCGATACAGTCATCTGCTTTTGACAAAAACAGTGTAAACTCTGGCAATTAATTTGGAAGTGATATTTTAAAATGTGTTCTGTATTTAAAGAAAACTCCAGTATTTGAATAAATCAGTCCCTGAGTACACTGATCTGGGATTTCATATCGTTAAAAAAAAATTTTTTTTTATAAGTGATAAGGATTTTTGTTTTCCCTAGCACTGTATCATTATCACACTTAAATGTTATTAATAATCCCAGTAATATATATTTTGAATTTTCCCAGTTGTCTCAAAAATCTTTGCTCTCATTTTGTCTCTTGTTCTCTAATGGTTCTGGCAACCCTCCCCACCCCCATTCTTTGCTCCTTCCTGCCCAGTGGCAGGGTTCACTGAAGAAACCAGGTCGTGTGTCCTGTAGAGTGCCCCACATTCTGCATCTGACTGGCTGCTCCCTGTGGCGCTGGATACGTGGACCCCGTGTCCCCGGTCGTCCTGAGGGACTCAGTAAACTGGTGGTTGAATTCAGAGCCAACTTTCCTTCCTTTATTCTTTCCTCTCAATGTTGTGTCCTTCCATCATGAGGCACATACTGTCTGGTTGTCCCCACTTACTTATGCATGAGACTAAGGTCTGGATCTCTTGGTACCTTGTGACTTTGTTAGTACAGAGGTACACATTAGAATCACGTTGAAGCTTTTTAGATTTCTTAAGAATCTTAGATTGTGATTGAGCAGGTCTTAGAGGGGTGGGGAGAGAACACATGCAAGAAACCCCAAACCCTCTACCATTACTTAGATGGATTATGAATCATTACCTTTGGTACATTTACAGTATAACTGGAGTGACACAATTTACTTTTAGCAGATGCTTTGGGAAGGTCTATGTTTCATATGAAATGAAGCCTATTTAAATCATTTAACTGTGGAAACATTTGAGGTGTGGTATGATAGAAAAAACACTGATTTGGATTCAGGAGGCCAAATCATTTATTCTCTCTGAGACCTGTTTTTTAATTTACATCTAGAAAATAGGAATCCTAAGATATTTATCATAGGCTTGTTTTAATGATTAAATGAAACAATTAATTTGGAAGCAGTCCCAGCACCTAGTGGTGAGTTATTACTGAAATCTGAAAAGCATTACAGAAATAGATTTATTTTTTTCAATTGAGGTCTTCAAAGTAAAGCTTAAGAAAATTGAAGTAGTAATATCTTACATGCTATTTCATATGTATATACACACACATACATACATATATATATATATAAAAGCTTTTGTTTTTGAGCTTATTTGAATGATAGGAGACTCATGATGTAGTTACAATAAGTGTAATAAATGCAGCCTTTTTGGGAGACATAGTGTGTAGAAATCTTTTTTTTTTTTTTTTCCCCTTTCAGCTCCATTTACCTCTTAATTCTCCTTTGCCTGGAAGTGAATTGACCAAGGAACCTTTTCGTTGGGATCAGAGACTCTTTGCATTAGTGTTGCGGTTGCCGGGGACGATGTCCGTAGAATCAGAACAGTTGACAGGTGTGCCTTTAGATGACTCTGCAATCACACCAATGTGTGAAGTGACAGGCGGTAAGTTTTTTACTGGCAATAATTCAGTGACTTAAGCAGATTTTATCTGAATGTTTTTAAATGTGCATTTCAAAAACTCCGTGTTTGTTTTGTTTAACAAGTTACTATTAGAAGTTACTAGACATACATGGTTTTAAAACTACATTGATGGAGGTCTTTGATCTGTTGAATAAGATGCAGATACTGTTGGGTCTGATAATGCATGATAATTTTTTTCTAACCATAGCAAATGCTAATATTTGAAGTTGTTAAACTTACTATCTACAAAGATTGCCAATGATTTACAAATACCATAGAATTATTTTCTCTGACAAAATGTTTTAAGAATCACCTCATTATCCATGTAATGATTAATGCCTGGTTAAGTACAGTTTTACCCAGAGGCAAAGAGGAAGTGAGATAGGTTAGAGGAAAACAGGTAGTGAACTCTTAACCAGCTGTGCTGAGTGAACATTAGTAAAACTCTTGAAACAGAAGATGTAATAGACTCAGAACTTCTATATGGTGGAATTGGTTAACAGGTGGGTTAAATTCATATCGATAAGCATCGAGTGCCTACTGTGTACCAAGCACTGTCCATGCTTTAGGACTTCCATAGTATATATGACAAGCATGGTAGTCTTGCTTTCATGGTGCATTGTAGTTCTCTCTTAAGGAATTAATGGTAAAATGTCTAGGTCTGGCGTACCACTATTTTCATTGGTGTCCTGGGTTGTGGCATAGTCTACATGCACTGTCAATGCTCTGTTGAGATTCCATCATAGCCAGCTATGTAAGTCAAAGGAAAATAAGGTCTAATTAATATTTTAGGTGCCTTTCTTCTAATATTTTGTGGATTTTGGAAGCCTGCAAATTTCACAGATGAAAAAGAATACCCTACATAGATACGTATGTGAAGTAGATAAGTTAAAAGATTCAGAAATCACCATTGATGATATCTTTCAGTGACCTTAGTTGGTCAAAGAATTAGGGAGCTTTCCACAAATATACATCGTGAACCTCTTCTAATGTAGTACTTTGCTTCTCTTCATGCTCCTGCTAGCAGTAATGGGAAACTGCTCAAATGCCACTCGTTTTCTTATAGTATGCTTTCTTCTTTATTTTAAATGAATGCTGACTAAAAAGTGTTTGAGGATAAAAACCACCAAAAAAGTAAAAATAACCAAAAAGCTAATATCCACTGGTGGTGTACTGTCCAAATATGCAATCATTGTTAACAGTTCTGTGCGTTTTTAAACAATGATAAGAGTAGTATGTGTGCATTTTATTTTTTCCTTTATAGAGTAATTTATGTTCATTAAGGAAAAATTGGAATGAAATTTGCATGTGTTGCCAAAGTGATTGATTGGTATTTTATTCTATTTTTAATGTATACCTTAAAAATTATATAATTGTCATTGTAAGCATTTTTCTTTTATTATCAGGTAATTAATGAATACTCGATGCCAGTTAGCTGTTTTTGATCATGGGAATACAGCAGGAGCAATAGACAGAGACTTACATTTTTGGGCTGTATGACAGATAAAATGATTTAAAATGAATAAATCATATTTCAGAGAGTTCTGCTTACTATCAAATAAAGAAATAGGGTGAGGGTGCAGAGGGTAGTGAGGCAGAGAATGAGTATTCCTGGAAAGTCTTCTGAGGACGTGACTTTTTTTAACCATAAACCTAAAGGATATGCGTACCCCAGTTTGAATCAGTTTAAAATACTGTATGTCCTTGGAAATTATTATACTCTTTGTCTAAAGAATTAAATAAAGCAACAGTTATTCTTTTATAAATTATATTTGCATATCTCTAACCTTGATGTAAAGTCACTTGTTTGAATGGGAATTAAATCAGTCCTAGTTGTGTCTTAAAAATATTAATCCCTCTAAAATGATTGTTCTAGCATCTTCATCAACCCTGTCTCCTTTTTAAAATTGAGGTATAATTGATACATACAACATTTTAGTTCCAGGGGCACAACACAATGATTTGATATTTGTATAAATTATGAAATAATCACTGCAGTAAGACTAGTTAGCATTTGAATGGAACTCTGAATAACGGAGTAAACCATATGAAGATCTCTGTAAAAGAAATAGTAAGAGAAGGATCACGCCCTGTATTTTGGGGAGCAACAGGAAGGCTGATATGGCTAGAAGCTTATGTAGGGAAAAGTAGAGAATAACAGGTTAGTTTCGAGAAGTGGGCAAAGGCCAAATAATAAATAGCCTTTTAGATTGTAGTAAATATTATTTATTTTCCCAGTGTGATGAGAAGTCATTGGAGGGCTTTTTATAGGAGATGACATCTGATTTCTGTCTCTGAAAGACCACTTCAACTGCTAGATGAGAATATACTGTAACATGGTGGGAATGAAAGCAGGGAGACCAGGAAAGATGATGGTACTTTGATCTCAAGTGTTTATGTTCGGAGATGGTAAGAGGTGGTCTGATGGAAAGGAAAGACTGAGGGTAGTGAAGGAAGAAGGAATCAAGGATGATTTCTGGGTAATTCAGTTGGTCTGAGCAATTGGAGGTGAATGGCTATGCTATGTACTGAGATGGTTACTCAGGAGAAGCAGGTTAGGGGGAGGCACAAGGATGATATCAAATTTTAAAAATACATAATAGACATGTTGGTGGAAGTACTGAGGATAAAAAGCATTATATAAAAATTGTAAGACTTTGCTAGATTAAATAAATTTAACTTTCTTAACTTCTGTAAATAGGACTGTTGCCCAACTTAGTATTACTACTTTTGTGTCTTAATCCATGAAAGTTGTTTGGTTTCTTTTTTCCACTTTATCGCTGTGTTTAGAGTTTTTTCTTTTTTTGTGGACCGTACATAAACATAAGTGAACCAGCTTCTTGGCTTCAAAGTGTGTGTTTTTCTCACAAATGTGAGTGATCTTAGACACTTTATCCTTTAGTACAAAGTATCAAGCATTCCAAGAGGTAAGTTTTGACATAAAGAATAAGAGAAACATGACATAGGTTGTGGGCTCACTTTGTAAAGATATCTAAATTTGCTTTAACTTTGAAAAGAGTTAATGAATTTTTATTATTTTTCTAAGTGATTCAAGTTTATTTACTATTCTCTAATTTTCATAAAATATCTTTGTTAGTAATTTTATGTCATACTAAGATCATAACTTACTTATATTTTCCTAATCAGTTAGTTGATGACACAGGTTAGAGAAGTGTAGAGGATTGCCACAATTTTATATTTAGGAACTTTTGTTTTTATTGACATCGTCGGAATGTGTTTAGATACTGAGCCTTTATATAATCTCCTAAATACCTTATTTATTAAGATGATCAGCCTTTTAATGTATGTGTTTAAATTGACTCGAAGAATTTTTAATTTGCCAAGTCTTTCAGTTCATATAAACTTTCTTATTTTAAATACTGATTTCAAGTTAACATCATGGTTTTCAGGGAAGAAGGCGGTGTACCCAGATGAGTGTTTCTGATGTCTTGTGAGGGTTTGAGTCTTGGCTGCTCTACTGTACTGACTTAACTAATATGGGTAAATTAATCCCTCTGTGCCTTAGTTTTCTCATTTGTAAAATGGAGAAAGTAACCCATATGATTGTTGCTAGGATTAGAGAAATTAATATAATAGAGTGATTACGATAGTGCCAGGTGCACAGACACTCAGTAATTGCTGGGTATTTTTATAATTACGGCTTTCATTGTTGCATCCAGGTAAACCATTTGTTACATGATACTTGTTTTCCTAAGTAGAGCTGACTCTGAGGAGTTGAATCACACTATTGCCTAATGTTAATATTCTCTTTTCTGAGTAGCCTTTAGCAAATCACGTGTTAGGTTTAAGTCGATATGAGTAATGTGATATGTCAAGTATAATAATATGTTTGGTAGTAATTGGTTGAATTTGTTAAGGAATAAGAGTTTTTCCATGTTGAGCTTATTACAAATAACACTGTAGAATGTTTTATTAAGGATTTTTAGTTGTCATGGTTTTAAGCACTGGTCTGGATCAGAACATATAAATATGTAAGTTACATATATAATGATAAATTTTATAGTAGTCACATTGAAAAGAAACAGGGAACTCCCTGGTGATCCAGTTCTTAGGACTCTGCATTTTCACTGCCTGGGTTCAATCCCTTGTTGGGGAAACCTAAGAGACCTCAAGCCATGTAGTATGACCAAAAAAAAAAGCAAGAAAAACAACAAAACCCCTAAAAACAGGTAAAATTAATTTGTATAGAATCATTTATTTAAATTAACATAAAATATTTCAATGTGAAATTGATGTTTTAAAATTACTGAGATATTTCATATTATCATATTATGTCTACAAAATGAAGTGTATGTTTTTTATAGTTACTGTACATCTCAATTTGGACTAGCTCTGTTTCAGGTTCACAGTAGCCATATACAGCCAGTGGCTGCAGTATGGGACAGCACAGATCTGGCTATATTTATTGAAAAATCCCTGTTAAAGAAGTCTTTCCACTGGTGTTTTTTCTTAATCACTATCATTTTAATGCTTCTGAACTAAAAGTTTTATAGTAAAATATTCAAGAGGAAAATTCATTTAAGATAGGTAATTTCTAAGTATGTTAGCCAGATGAAATTCAGAAAAGCACATGCTGCTGTGTATTATATTAAAGTGCAAATATTTAATATATGTGGTATCTGCCAGCAGAGATCACTTAAATAATTATTGAGTCTCTTCTATGTCCTTAGCATTAATTTTTAGTGATTTTTTTTTCAGCAGGAGTAAAGATAAATTATATTGGAACTCAGTTGGAAAATAGTTCTTTATATATATACTTTTTAAAAAATTTCATTTCATGTGATACATGGTATATATGTAATGATTTTTTTCATTGTTTGTTCAGACCATTAATATTTTTATTTTCCATGTACCTTTAATTAGAAGAAAAAACTTACATACTCTCATAAAATGGAATTGTTGATTGGAAATAACTTTTTTTGTTTTGTTATTCTTCCATTAGATAATGAAAAGTCCAAACTTTATCATTGAACTTTTGTGAATCAGTATTGTCAAAACCCCCACTATGGTTCTTTTTTGCTTAAAGTAGGAATTTTTGCAACTAACTAGTTCACTTTATTTTTTTTGTTTCAGGCCGCTCATACTCTGTATGTTCTCCAAGAATGCTTAATCAGTGTCTAGAATCCTTGGTGCAGAAAGTACAAAGTGGGGTAGTAATAAACTTTGAGAAAGCAGGACCAGATCCTTCCCCTGTAGAAGGTATTATTGTCATTTTCTTACAGACATTTTAAACTTGCTTTATCAAGTATTCAGCTAGAACCGAAAAATTACCATGAATTGGGTTTAACATTGACAAGGCCAGATTATTAAGATGACAAAAGAGCTATTGGTAAAGTGGCACGATTAAATAGGAAAGTCAAGGTTGTGTGATAGTGGTTTGGTTGTATTGCCTTTTTATATTGGTTGTTCATAGGCTGATAATTTGTAAGAGCTAAAACCCTTTTTAAACATTAACAGAATAGTGGATTTCCTTTTTTGGTATTGTAACATTGACTCTCTCCAGTGTATGTGCGTCTCCCATGTCCCTTGATTCACAGGAGTGTTCAGCCCTAGGTGTTTATTTAATTCTTTAGCTATAGTTTTCATTAAAGATCAGACTGATCAGAAACAAATGGTTGGTGTGGTTCCAAAAATGAGAAACCAGCCTTTGCTATTCAACTTGATTCTTTTAACTCTAGCTGAGTCCTGCCTGGCTTTATTCTAATATTCTGTGATCATGAACTATTTATATTAGCCAGAGGGTATAAGGAGTTTTGCCAGAACCAACGGGCGGCTTACATCTGGACCCTCTGCCTTGTACGACATAGCTTAAAACCAGAATTAGAAAGTCGTTAATGACACTTTGGCAGAGGTAAGGCAGTGGAGTGGGTAACTGGGAGAAGAGAAAGGTCATAGAGATGAGAGCCGAAGATGGAAAGATTATATAAATTGTATTGCTGTGTCTGATTTAAAAAAACAAACCTTAAAGAACTGAATTGTTAGACATGGAATATATTTATTTTTAAATTATTTTAGGACTTTGCTTAGAATTAGGCACTCAGTAAATATTTACTGTTGAAGAGAGTTACCATTTTCTTGGATTGTTTTAGATTAACGGTAGGTGCCTCAAATCTGGATTTATATATTAAACTTTTGTTCTAGTTTTTAGGCTTTAGGTAAAATGATTTTTTAAAAATACTTACTTAGCCATAGTTACCTAGTATTTACTAAGCTGAGCATGATGATGAAAAAACTGATTATTTGCCCTTATCATCTGGTGGGGGAAAACATGTCATTCGTTAAACAAGTATTTACCATGAGGTATGTTTTACATATTCTCATTGGGCAAGCAAAGGATGCTGTGGGACCTCCTTTCAAATGTGGAACTCAGAGTTGAAATTTGCTGATGTTACCCTCTCATGAATTCTGATCTAATCTAAATGTTAAAGGCTTAGTCATGATAGTATTCTACCGTTTAAGAAAAACAGGAAAATCCAGAACTGAACAAGTATTAAGATATTTTTACTAAGTAATATTAGACATAGTTTAACTTCTTATATTTTTTTCTTTTAATGATATTTACTTTTTAAAATTTCTTTGCTATAGATGGGCAGCCAGATATATCAAGACCTTTTGGATCTCAGCCGTGGCATAGTTGTCACAAACTCATTTATGTCAGACCAAATCCTAAAACTGGGGTTCCTATAGGTCATTGGCCTGTTCCAGAATCTTTTTGGCCAGATCAAAATTCTCCAACACTAGTAAGTACCAGAGACTGTGACTTCATAATAGTAACTGCTTTTCATACTAGCTTTAAGTACTACTGTCAGTTAAAGGTGTGGCTGTTATATAGGAATTAGACAAGATGTTCAAGTGCTATGATAAGTTGTTACTTGCTTTAGTATATTGTGTTGTTCATTATAAAATAATAGAAAAAAGGCATCGGTTTCCTTTTGAATCTAAAGTTATGCTTATGTTTTTATTATTGGCATCTTATTACAGAATCATAGATATATATCCTAAATATATAAATAACATAAGGATTTGTTCTCAGGGACATAATACAGAATTTAAATGAAGGGTTACAAAATAATTTTGATGTTTTCCATGCAGCCTTTTAGGACTTAGTCTTAGAAATTCATGTTGATTTGCATAGTTTTAGTTATATTCAGTGTTCTCAGTCTGGAGGTTTAAGATAGAAAAGATTTTCTGGTCTTATTTATAGGAATTATTTTTAGTAACAGTGGCTTGTTGAGTGATCATGGTGAATTATCAGTATTCACTATATGGTTTTTATAATAATAGGGTAAATTTAGACAAATATCTATTCAGTCTTGTTAATACACATTTTTCAGATTCGTCTTTTTTGTAGTAACTCAGAGGACACTGGAATATTTTGTGGGAGAGCTTGACAGTGGTTCTTTTGATGTTATCCTTAGAAGATAAGAATTGTTATTTCAAAGATCGTTAAGTAGTCTTTAATAATGTTTGATGTGGCTATCATTTATGAATTAAGTTAAACTCTTTGAAATCTTTTATACTTTAAATCTGTATCAACTCTTCAGGATAATTTTTTGCTTTTTTATAAGAGCTGTGATATTGCCTTTGTTCATTAGGGATTTAATGAAGTAGTACATGAAATAAAGGTTTTATACATTTCAGTGAGAGATCATCTTCATTTTTTTTGATTGAACCATCATAGTATTTTAGTCTGACCTTAGAGAAGCTCTCGATTTGTTTGGTCATTTTAATTTCTCTTCTGGAGCCTTTCAGAATTCTTCAAGAACATTTTTGTATGAAATATTCTATTGTTGTTTATTCAGTTATATTTAACACCTACAGTAGTACATATGGTACATATTGAGTCCGCATAGGAAGAAATCCAAAACCAGTATCACAAGCATTATCTATTAATATTACTCTAGTGGTCTATTGCAAATTATTACAAGCCATAGAGGATTTTGGAATGTGGGTAGGATTTTAGTTGGAACAGGAAACAATGTTGAAAGTATGGAAGTAGGAAAGAACAAGGTGAATTTAGAGGAATGGAAAGTATCTGAGGATAGGTGGTTCATAATATGTCTGTAGGACATTGAGAATATTATTAAAGAAACTAGATTGCTCATGACTTTACATGCAAGGTTGCTCATGACTTTACATGCAAGGTTAAAGAGTTTGAGCTTTTCTCAGTGGGGTTCATAGAACTGAAGACATTTTTAACAGAATGTTCCTTTGGGAAAATTAATCTGGTGATTGTTATATGCAGCAGAATCAGGAGATGAATTGGCAGGTAAGCTGTTCACCTAGAGGACTATTGCTATAGTTCACTTAACACAGAGCTGTTGTGCTTAGTCACTCAGTCGTGTCCGACTCTCTGTGACCCCGTGGACTGTAGCCCACCAGGCTCCTCTGTCCATGGAATTCTCCAGGCAAGAATACTGGAGTGGGTTGCTATTTCCTTCTCCAGGGGATCTTCCCAACTCAGGGATTGAGCCCATGTCTTTGGCATTGCAAGCAGATTCTTTACCATCTGAGCCACCAGGGAAGCCCAGTATAGAGCTAGTAAGAGTTTGAATTAAGATGATGGAAGAGAGAATGTTAAAAAAGAGATACTGGAAAGAACTGGCAAATTTTAGTAACTGAAGGATATTAGAGGGGAAATGAGATTTCTATAAACAATAAGATTTCATATAAGAGGTACTGATACTGAAATTAAATGTGGTTTATTAGAGACTGGTTCTGAATTTGAATTATGGCTCTACCAGTTATTAATCATGTGTCTTTGGTTAATTATCTTCTTTAAGCCTCAATTTACCATCTGTTAAATAAAGATAATAACTCCTATCTCATAGGATTATTTTGGATATTAAATGGATCTTAGTATTTTCATCCAAAAAAACCCCATAAATTTCATAGACTGATTCAATAAGCTGTTGTCAGTTACGTGACAGGCACAGGAGCAGAAGATGAGTTAAAACATGATGCTTCCCGTCTGGAACCTTCCATAGGAAGGTCAGCCGTATAAACATCATAGAGCCCAGCGTGCCACCTGTCACAGTGGTGGAGCAGAGGCCGGATGAGGTGGTACCTGACTGCCTGGTGTGGGTTTGGGGTACGTGGTAAGAGTGTGTCAGGAAAGAAGCCTCTTAGAGGTTGGTACTTGGCAGTTCAGACTTCGGAACTTTGCATTATGCAAGGGAGAACACAGTAAAGCAGCCAGGGATAACATGAAGCTCAGGGGCTGTTCGGGCCGCTGCAAGTTGTTTTTAAGGCTGCGGCACAGGGTGTATATGGGGTGGTGGTTAAAAGGCAGATAGGGGCCATACAGTCAAGCCTCTTTGTTTAAAAAAACCCAGAGTCTGGCCCTATTTTTAGGTGATTAGATGCTACTTTTACTCAACAATTTGAGGCAGGAAAATTATATGATTATATTTCATGGCCATGGGATTGATTGGAGGGGGCTGACTAATTAGGGATACTAATTAAAAAGACACAGTTGTACTAATCTAGTCTACGAAATGAAGGCATGAATTAGAGTGGTAAGAAATAGAAGATAAATTTTCAGAGAGATGAGGATTTAACATTGACAGAGGGTAGTATCTAAAGTAGTGAGCATCTGCACCATATTTATGTGTTTGCTAAGTGACTTAGAATTTGTGGTATCGCTGAATCTAGGTCTTTGTGACAATTAAGTATGGAGGGTAAGGGGGAGATAATTAAGGATAACATCTAGGTTTTTAGAACAGGTTATGTGGTTTGGGGGTGAAATAATGAATTGTGTAATACTGTGTTTGAGGGACCTATAGAAAATTCAGGTTATGTCCAGTAGGTGGTTGGATACATGAAGAGAAATGAGAGATGATCCCAAGACAGTAGTTTTGGGAGCCACCAGTGTATGTATTGATAGATAGTAACTGAAGCTGAAAGGAGTCCTTTATATTTATGAAATTTCACAGTATTTCCTCATAGCTCGTATTTTCTTCACCAGTCTTCTTTTGGTGAGATTTTTAGGAAGGAGACTGTTAAGAGGGGGAATAGAGTAACATGCCTTTTTTTTTTTTCTTCTTTAAAAGTATTGCAGTTTTTGCAGCTCTAGAACAGGGTCTCCAGAGTGGGGCATATTTACCATAGGGCTAACCAGTAGTTTACTGGAATATGGAAGGAAACCAGTAGAACTTCTATTTTGTTTTCTTTTTTCTATTAGTATTTTGGTATATATTATATACCTATAAATTAATAATTTACAAGTATATATATAAAACCTTGTACTGATCAATGTGCATCATCAGTTTGGAAATCAGGTAGTTAAACTGCTACAACTGTGGCCTTAGGAAGGTTTCTAATTACATTAACTACTTGTTAGATGTAAAAATTAATGAGCACTTACTTAATTTTAAAATATTGCATTTAAGTTTTCTGATGAATTTGATTTTAAGACTTAAAAAATTTTAATCCTGTACAGATTTTGAAGTATTTCATTTATTTTTTTCTTGTGAATATTGATAGTTTAAGCATTACATTTTTTAAGTATTATCTTTCAGCTTAGTGGTGCTTTTGATAGTAAATTAAACTCTCACTAGTGAAACTGAGAAACTGAGTAAACTTTGACAGTGAGGGATACAAAAAGTTTGTTTCTGGTACTTTGTGAAAGAGTAACAATAAGACTTTGCCTTCTAGCCACCTCGTACATCTCATCCTGTAGTGAAGTTTTCTTGTACAGACTGTGAACCAATGGTTATTGACAAATTGCCTTTTGACAAATATGAGTTGGAACCTTCACCGCTGACTCAGTTTATCCTGGAAAGAAAATCTCCTCAGACATGTTGGCAGGTAAGCTGAAAGACTGTAGTGATTTTAAAAATATATTTATTTGATTTTTATTGAGGTATAATTGATTTACATTGTTGTTGCATTAGTTTCAGGTGTACAGCAAAAGTTTATCTATTACACACACACATATATAGCCTCTCTTTTCAGATTCTTTTTCCATACAGGTAGACCATTACAGAGTAATTTTCCCTGTGCTATATAGTAGTAGGTCTTTATTAGTTCCATCTATTTTATATACAGTAGTATGTATATGTCAGTTGCAACCTCCCAGTTTATCCCTCCCTGCCTCCTTACCCCCCAGTAACCATAAATTTACTTTTCACATCTATAACTCTTTCTGTTTGTAGGTAAGTTCATTAGTAGCCTTTTTGTTTAGAATTCACATGTAAGCAATATCATGGTATTTGTCTTTCTCAGTCTGACTTAATTTCACTCAATATTAGTTCAGTTCAGTTCAGTTGCTCAGTCGTGTCCAACTCTTTGGACCCTGTGAACCGCAGCACGCCAGGCCTCCCTGTCCATCACCAACTGCCGGAGTCTACCCAAACCCACGTCCATTGAGTCGGTGATGCCATCCAACCATCTCAATCCTCTGTCATCCCCTTCTCCTCCTGCCCTCAATCTTTCCCAGCATCAGGGTCTTTTCAAATGAGTCAGCTCTTCACTCAATATTAGAACCTCTAAAAATTTAATTTGATGTTTTCTTTTTTTTAATTTGATGTTTTAAAAAAAGTCAGATTGAATCCATGTTTTATATAATATTCTGCAAAGGTTATTAAATGTGAACTTTTAACTACTCCTTTTTAACAGGTATATGTGAGCAATAGTGCAAAGTACAGTGAACTTGGCCATCCCTTTGGTTACTTGAAAGCCAGTACAGCACTGAACTGTGTCAACTTATTTGTGATGCCTTACAATTACCCAGTCCTCCTTCCCCTTTTAGGTGAGTCCTTCTCGTCATGTTCACTGTGGCCTAGCATACGTATGAATTTTCCTAAAAGCAATCTTTGCGAACATCCCTCCCTTTCTGAGTTTTCTTGTCTTCTGGAAATTAGTGAAGATTTTTATTAATATTCTAAGATATTGAAGCTGTTAAGGGTTTATAGCAACCTCTGCATGTTTCTGATATATGAAAGTCAGTGTCAAACACCTTTGATTCTACAAACTATTGAAGACACTATATTTTGCTAAATTAAATATTCTAAGTTTTTTGCAAATTAGATATCTTACATAGTTAGAATTAGTAATGCACATTTTGTACATGGTAAATAATTAAGATATTTTGTAGAAGCATATTTCTTAGAGCTGAGTATTCTCTTTTTAAGAATTTTCTTTTGGCAAACTTTTTAGTGAATGAATTTGTTCTAAAATAATATAAATAATAATGATAAGCCTAAAGTTGATTGGAGACCCTTTGGCTGTAATTTTTTGAGGGGTGCTGTTGGAGAAGGCATCTTTTCCTTCATGGAATTGCACCAGATTTAAAGGTTAATAGACAAAATATTAGTAGGTATGTGTTCATGTATACTTTCTGTATTCCTGTCTGTTTCATATCTCAATTTTCTTTGTGTATTTTCTCATTCTACCTTTATTATTACATTTAATTTGAAACCTTAATTGGTACCCTTTCGTTTTTAAAGTGGTATTACTACTCAAAAATGTCATAACCAAACATTTATCACCTTTAATTTTGTTAAAAAGAGAATTGATGTTTCCTCTCTCTCTTGTAAATAAGAAAGCAAACTTTAAAAATGAAACTTACTTGACTTGGTTTTCATGTGTGAAAACACTGAATGATGACAGTTTGTTCTCATTATGCATTCATTTATAGATGATCTGTTTAAGGTCCATAAGGCAAAACCAACATTGAAATGGAGACAGTCATTTGAAAGTTATTTGAAGACGATGCCTCCCTACTATCTTGGGGTAAGAATATTATTGTTAAAAATAGAACTTATTATAAAATTTTGTATTATGCCTATAGTTTACTGTAGATATTAAAGATTTTATTTATTGCTGTTACAAAATAAATACCATGAAAAATTTATAAATGACCCGTATAAATATAATGATAAAGAAATGTTTCGGTGATTTGCAGAATAATGATGATGGTGACAGTATATATAATGCTTATCCAGGCCTGCCTGATACTATCCTCAGCACTTTACATGTGTTAACCTCATTTAATTTATATGGTAACTGTATGAGGCAGAAATAACTTTTTATTTCACAAATGTGGAAACTAAGGCACTAAAAAATTAAACAATTCATCTAAGGCTACACAGCTAATAATATCAGGGTCAGGAATTCAAACCTAGGCAGCTGGCTTTAGAATTTAAACTTTTACAATTAACCTTTTTAAATTGCATTTTAATATAATTATTTCTCCTTGTAGGTACAAAAAAAGGTTTGTTTGCGTTGTTCTCTGAATCTCAAGAAACAGTCCCTGAAACCTAGTGTATCAAAATAGGACCAGTAATACATATATTATTAAATACATTATTGTTGTTTAGTCGCTAAGTCATGTCTGACTCTTTGCGACCCCATGGATGGTAGCCTCCCAGGCTTCTCTGTCCATGGGATTCTCCAGGCAAGTAATTACTTTATTGATTTTGTGAAAAGTAACTTCTAGAACACTTTATTAAAACATTACTTCTGCTTTTACTGCAGGAATATTGTAGTATTCGGCTGTAATCTTTTTAAATGGCCTCTAATAACATTAATTTCTTAAGCTTTGAAATCATATATTATGGTTGTAAGAGAAAAACTGTGTGTGTCTAGCAGATAGTACCAGCTGTGTAAGAGAGGGGAAAGGAGGAAACACTGGAATATGAACTACTGCGTATGTTTGGCTCATGTTTCATAGCATCTGAGGGGATTTAGCCAACGCCACATGGATATTAAATATCAGGTCTGGGATTTGATTCCAGTTTGACACCAGTGCTTTTATACACTTTGTAATATGTCAGTGGGTGGCTGTCATCCTTTTTTTGACTCTGTCCCATTCACATATGCTAGACTGTTGTGCAGTGACATTTTTCATTGCACAGAGTATTTCTTATTCTTAATTAGTCTATCCTTACCCAAGGTAAGAATCTTCCATTATCCTTGACTCCTCTTTTCACTTACCCCCTAAGTTCTATCAAATCTACATCTGCAATGTGTCTCCTGCCCTCTTCTTCCAAATGTTACTAAGAAGTCCAGGACTCCACCCTTTCTTACTCTGGGGGTTGTTATTATAGCCTCTAATCCTTGTTTAGTATTTCAAACTGCCTTTTATACCACTGACAAACGTTTTAATGAAGTACAGATATGATTATGTGACCCTTATTGAAGAAAAGGAGAGGTTTCACGGCGGTGAATTTTTCAAAATTGACAATACATACATGGCTCTACTGGTAAAGAATCGGCCTGCAATGCAGGAGACCTGGGTTTGACCCCTGGGTTGGGAAGATCGCCTGGAGAAGTGAATGGCTACCCACTCCAGTATTCTGGCCTGGAGAGTCCATGGACTGTATAGTCCATGGGGCTGCGAAGAGTCAGACATGACTGAGCAACTTTCACTTTCACTTTTCATGGCTGTAAATTTATGACAAGCTTAGGATTGAGTGTGATATTTTCTTTTTTTTCCTGTAGCCTTTGAAGAAAGCTGTTAGAATGATGGGAGCACCTAACCTAATAGCAGACAGTATGGAATATGGACTTAGTTACAGTGTCATTTCATACCTCAAAAAACTGAGTCAGCAGGTAATGTTAAGAAATAGAGCCATTAAGTATTTTGAATGGTATTGGCTAAGGTGGTCAATAGGCCAGATACTAGTTCTTGATGGTTCTAGTAGAATTATATTAATAGGTTACGTTTTAAAACCACATATATATTAACATAATTCTCAATTGCATGGTATGCTATGTTTTGAAATGATAATTTCAAATAATAATTTCTAGTTTGTGAAAATTGCTTTATTAATGTGATCCTAGCCCCCTTGTATGTAACATTTCTTATGTTTTCTTTTGGGAAATTTGTTAGAAATTTGTTTTTCTTAGTTAAAAAAAATCAATTTCTTTTATGTTATAAAACCTATAGCATTTTCTTTAAAAATGAGGATTTCTTTTGAAATATGTATAAAAATAGTGAATTTTGTCATTTTGGACATAAATCATGTTAGTAGATACCAGATTAGTCCAGCAGTATACCCTTTGACTGCCAAGTTATTAAAATTGTATAAAGCATAATTTTTCCAGTACTTTCGCCATTTCTACTTCAACTGCTAATTGAAATGTAGGTTAGAAGAGTCAAAATATTGCTGTTTGCTTTATCTGTGAGCATTTAGTTATGTGCTAATAATAATGGCTTTAAGTAGATATTGATAAGATTGTTTTCTAATTTTATATCACCTCTGAATTGGGAATTTTTATTTAGGGTGTATTAACTAACATATCATGGTTTCAGTGTAGTGGGTGTTAATAAATCAAAGTTGTGTTTGTGTGATTTTCTCCAAAAGATAAGAATTGTGGTGATTTAAAATCATAAGACGTTATTGTTTAAACTGTGTTCAGTTTACCAAGCAACTGACATAGACTACATAACTTTAGTTTTTAATTTCTTATGTTCTTTTAAAATGTGATAAATACTTAATTTATAAAAGACTGGAACTATTTTTAGCCTTTAATTTACCAGTTCAGATCATGTCACGACAGCTTTTATTTATTTTTGCTTTAGGCCAAAATAGAATCTGATCGAGTCATCGGTTCTGTAGGCAAAAAAGTAGTACAGGAAACTGGAATTAAAGTCCGAAGCAGATCACATGGTTTATCAATGGCTTATAGGAAAGATTTTCAACAGCTGCTCCAGGGAATTTCAGAGGATGTTCCTCACAGACTGCTGGACCTTAATATGAAAGAATACACTGGGTTCCAAGTTGCTTTGCTCAATAAGGTAATAGTTATGTGAATTTTGTACTGCTCTAGTAATAGTCTATATTGTCGAATATTTCAAGTTTTCTCTTAACTGATACCCAGTTTGTCCAAATTTCTATACCTCTGCAGAATAATGATCAGTCATGGTATTATTATTATTGAATCATTGAATTTTAAAACACTTCATGGTGAGTGGATGAGCAGATGGACTGACGAAGAGCAAACCATCATACTCATTTTATAGATAGAAAACAGGCTTAGATTGCCTGAAGTTACAAAGCTAATAGTAGAGTTCACTGTAGTTTGGCACTTATACTACTGACCTTGGGTACACAGTATAATCCTGAAATGCTTTGTGAATACTCATTATTAAAAAGATCTTCATCCCAGTTGCCTGTTTGTTGAAACTGACAGACTGGTTCTAAAATTTATATGGAGGTATAAAGGTCCTAGAGTAGCTGAAACAGTTTTGGGAAAGAATAAAGCTTGCACTAATTTTAAAAGTTACTGTAAAGCTGCAGTGATCAACATAATGTGTTGCTGGCATGAGGAGAAATGTTTTGGTCAGTGGAACAGAAGTACACCTTCATATAGAGTTAATTTTTAACAAAGATGTCGGAATAATTCAGTGGGTCAGAAGACAGTCTTTTCAACACATAGGGTGGGAACAGTTGGCTATCCATCTGCAAAATAATGAACTTGATCCTTATATTAGTTAACATGATCATAGGCATAAATGTAAGAACTGAAACTATAAACTTTTACAGGAAAAAAATCTATAAGATGTTGGATCTTGGGTCAATGAAGATTTCTAAAATACAATACAAAAAGCACATACATATAACAACTTCATAAACTGAACTTTAGTAAAATTATAATTTTTGTCTTCAGAAGAAACTTTGAAGTTTCTCCCAGACAAGCTACAGCCTGGGAGAAAAGCATATGTTGAATAAAGCACTTGTATCAAAATACATAAAGACACCCTAAGACTCAATAATAAAAAGATAAGCATCCAATAAAAAAATACACAAAATGTTTGAATAGACATCTTAACAGGTAGGATATACAAACCTGAAAAAGCAAGTGAAAAGATGTTCAACATTATTAGTCAAGTGGGGAAATGCAAATTAAAACCACAGTGAGATCCCACTTTATGCCCACTAGAATGGCTAAAGTTTAAGACTGAAAAATATGAAGTATTGGTGAGGTTATAGAACAGCTGGAGCTCTTACACATTGTTGATGAAAATTATCAACAGTTAATTTGCAGTTTCTTAGGAAAGGTAAATGTTGCTATATACCAGCAGTTCTACTTGTAGGTATCTACTGAGATAAATGAAAATATGTGTGTATAAAGGGTTTGTATGCAAATATTCATAGCAGTGTTAGTAATTGCCCCAAACTGAAAACAGTCCAAGTGTTCATCAACTGGTGAATGGATAAAGATACAGTATATCCATGTAAAAAGGAAAAGACAGTAAAATGGAATAGACTACCAGTACAGGAACAACATGGGTGAATCTCAAAAACATGCTTGTGGAAAGAAGCCAGATAGAAAACAGTACATATTGCAAGATTCCATTTATGAAATGGGACGTAGAGAGACAGAAAGCAGATTGGTGGTTGTGGGGATAGGAATTGAGAGTGACTGCAAGTGGGCACAGGGAACCTTGTGGAGTGATGGGGATGTTCTAAAACTGATACTAGTGATGGTTTCACAACTGTACATTTACTAACACTCAAACTGTTTATGTAAAATGGGTTGTTTTATGGTATGTAAATTACATATCAAAGCTTTTATTTACTTCTCTTAGCCAGAATACATAATAAAATCTTGGACAGATGTGAATTTGAGATAATTCGGTTGAGCTTCACTACTGAGTTTTTATCTTTTGGTTATTAAAACAGTACATTACGATGGTATCATATCCCTTTATTCTATTTTTTTAAGCTAATTAGTTGACTTGTATATCTTATTTTCAAAGCTGTGCTGCAGGCTAGAGATTTTAGTCTCTTTTAATTCTGTTTCAAAATACATTTTGTCTTTGAATCTTTTTAAAACAGGATTTGAAGCCACAGACGTTTAGAAATGCATATGACATACCAAGACGGAATCTTTTGGATCACTTAACAAGAATGAGATCTAATCTTTTGAAGAGCACCCGCAGATTTCTTAAAGGACAGGATGAAGGTTAGATCATGGTTTTAATATTAGTATTTCTTCAGTAAACTTTTCTTTATATTGAAAATACAGAGTGTTATTGTAACTTTTAAAGAGTTGAGACTGTAATATTACATTCTCATTGAATGAAGTAGAAAGTTGAGTCATCTCTAATTCTCTACACTTCTTCCTACCATCACTGTTGCCCCAAATTCTGTTCTCCAGAGGAAACAACCTTTGGTAATAGCTTAGTTTCCTTATGGCTTTCTTCATACATTCACATACACAGGCACACACAAAATCATTTTCTTGGATCTACTAGTATCTGATAGTTTTAACTCGGAATGGCCAATATATGTCATATTCTAGTATTTCCTTAACCATACCTTTGGCACCTACAAATCACGTCAGATGAGAACTTAACCCTTTGCTAACTCTGATGTAAACATTTCAACTATAGTTTTATATGAAAAGGATCATCTATGTGATACCTCTTTTCTGTAAATTATGCTTTAACTAAATTCTGCTTTGGAGTAGAATAGAAGAGACATTTTCATAGAAGGGTTACACATACTGTTTAGAATACTGAAACTAGCTGCAATATTTTTGCTTTGTTTAGAAGATAAAATTGATTATTTAAAATTTTATTAAAAAGCATTCAAGATTTTATGTCACAATATTTATAATAGCAATGAACTAATTTAGAATATATGGTAAGGAAAAGTTGCCTAGAATAGACCAGGTAGCATTCATACATAAGAACACATTATTTGTTAACTAAATGGAATGCAGTTTTAGCAAAGTTAACTTTTATTATTGCTTTGTTCTGTTTGAAAAGATCAAGTGCACAGTGTTCCTATAGCACAAATGGGGAATTACCAGGAATACCTCAAGCAAGTACCTTCTCCATTAAGAGAACTTGATCCTGATCAGCCTCGGAGGTTGCATACATTTGGCAACCCCTTTAAGCTGGATAAAAAGGTAAATTTGAAGTGTTCCATTATATAATTTTTTTTTGTGGGAGCCACAGTAGATTTAACAGTTCTTAGTTTAACTAAAGTAAGCCGAAACCATTTTCTTGGTAGAATACTATGTCAACATCGTTAAAATGTAGTTTAATGGGAATTGGAGTTTGTCATACAACTGAAAACCTTGTGTAAAGTCAGGGAAATTCTTCATTGTTACAGGGTATGATGATAGATGAGGCAGATGAATTTGTGGCTGGACCTCAAAATAAACATAAACGACCTGGAGAACCAAATATGCAAGGCATCCCTAAGAGACGACGCTGCATGTCTCCGCTGCTGAGAGGCCGACAGCAGAACCCAGTTGTGAACAATCACATTGGAGGGAAAGGACCACCGGTACCTATGACCCAAGCACAGCCAGATCTCATTAAACCCCTTCCTCTTCATAAAAGTAAGGGTTTTTTTTAAACATTATTTGCTGCTTTTAGTTTGGTTCTTCATGGGAGAGAGTTTTCTGATACAGAAACAGTGGATAAAGTTCCAAGTGTCTAGAGAAGATATTTGTTTATTCCAAATTAGCATGTAATCATTTTTTATGTCTTTTTAATGAACATTTCATATATTCATTCATTATGCTTAATAGCTATCATGATTTGAAATATCATTTGCAAATCTTTAGCATTTAGAAATGACAGTTTTTAAAGGGGCATTATTAATACCCATAGAAAGATGGTTTTCAATTTGTTTAATTCAGCAACTAATTATTAAATGATATGCTTAATTTAGACAGGGCTAGGCATTGAGATGTAGCTGTAAACAGACAATAGTGATCTCTGCCTTCATTTATAATGAGGAGGAAAGAAAGTCATCACACATTTCCTTAGAAGTGTGATGAATATTACAAAAAGGGAAGTCAAGTATACTTGTGGAAGTCTTTGGTAAGAGGATTTAACTTAGTCTGTGGGCTCAAGGCACTTTACTGAGAAGGTTCTGTTTAAGCCAACACTTGACGGATGAATGGAAATTAGTAAACTGAAGCTGTGCATTTGCATATGTTACAGTAATAGTCCTCTTACAGGAAGAGTACACACAGAGGCATACTGTGAGGAGCAGGGCGTTAAGGGAACTGAAGCATTCTGGTATAGCAGGGGCTGCTGGAAATGAGGTAAGGTGAGAGCCAAAAGATAGACATGCAGAGTCTAGATCATAGAGGGTCTTGGAAGCCATTGTAAAAGTCTAGACTTTATTCTAAGGACAGTGAAAATCCATTGATAGAGGTAGTGATCTGATCTGATTAGCATTTCATAAATGCTCCAGGCTGACATTACTATGTGGAGTCATTTTTGTTGTTCAGTCACTAAGTCGTATGGAATATTATTGGGGAAGAATGAGAATTGGTGAACGGAATGTTTAATGGAATAATTATAGTGGTGCTCATTCATGGCTAAGAACATCTTAACTGGAGAGAAACCAAATATGATCCCTCCTGATGGGATTACACAGTACTACATTTGAAGTATATGCCACCCAAAATACCGAATGAACATCAATATGATCAAGCCTCTGTATCTACAGGGATATAATTAGCAAAATCCAGATTGTGGTAAATTACAGGACAAAGAATCTGGTGTTGGGTGTATTTTTCGGGGAGGGGGGACATAGAAAAAAGAGAGGTACAGAAGGATTTTATAGATGAAAAGAGCAAGAGTTTTCACATGAGTGCGTGGAAAAATGCTCTTGAAGTGGCATTAGAAAGAAAAGGGACTAGTGACTCCACCTCCTTATTTTAAGTCCATGGAGAGAGTTTGAGAGAGAGGGCTTTCTTTGCAGAAGAGCTGGATTTCAATTCAAACAGGAGTTGCTATCGAGAATATCATTGAAGTTTGCAAATCATGGAGTAAGATTTAGGATGGAGGAAGGGAGTCAGAAGTCCAGAGAATTTTTGGGGTGTAGGGGGAGTTTAAATTTTGAATAGTAAGGTGATGAATTCAGCTGGGTCCTGGTGGTTAGGTGAGCAATCAGGGAACTAAGAATTCAGCTGCTTTCTCTGGGGAGCAAATACAGTAATCTGATATTAAGTGGCAAGCTTGCAAGCCTTTTAAGTCTAGTCTAGTGAGCTGAAGTGGGCACCAACTACTCTGCATTGCTCAAGTAGTGAAGACCATGTGGATGGTTATAAAGAAAGGCACTGTGGAGGTTTGGGGCCATGTTGCTGCAGAATTAGCTTAAACTTCCTGTGTTCACTTTTGCCTCTAAATAGTAACTGTATAAGGCAGAGGTAAGTTGGAATGAACTAGTACTCTCTAATAAAAGGATAACCATGATAATCTTGATCATATATGTGTCCCTAAAGCAGTGAAATCCACTTATTCAATAAAATTGCCATAGAAAAAAGCAGAAAACTAAAAGCTTTTTTAAACTTTTATTCCCCCCCCAGGCAAAAATTGTACAGATTTTGTAAATACTGTGAATGTTTCACATTGAAATACACCATATATATGGCAAAGCTTAAGAACCATATCACATTGTTAATTTCTAAGAGTCAAGGAGATAGTTGTGATTTGCTACAATCTTGTTTCTTTGACGTTTTCTTTTCTGTGTGCTTTGAAATTGGCTCTCATCTTTCTTTTTTCCTTATTTTTAGTTTCTGAAGCCACTAATGATTCGACAATGGATGATGTGGTTGAAAATCATGTTGCAGACCAACTTTCATTAGATATTACACCAAATGCTATGGAAGCTGAATTTTCAGGATCTTCTCCAGCCAACTTACTGGAACGACCAACCAATCATACTGAGGCTCTCGGTCACGACCACTTAGGACCTAATGATCTCACTGTTGGTGGATTTTTAGAAAATCACGAGGAGCCCAGAGATAAAGAACAATGTCCTGAAGAGAATACACCAGCATCTTCACTCAACAAAGGAAAGAAATTGATGCATTGCAGAAGCCATGAAGAGGTCAACACTGAACTAAAAGCACAAATAATGAAAGAGATCCGAAAGCCAGGAAGAAGTATGTATAATTAGAGACAGACATCAGATTTGATTTTTGTATGTGCTCTAAGAAAAAAGTCAAATTAACTAAAGCATAGATCTGATTTTAGATCAGTCTTGAGAACAACATATCAGCTATATAAGATCCCATTCTTTATTCAGTCAACACTTACCGAGTATCTGCTATATCCAAAGTACTGTGTCAGGTGTGGTAAGTAAGGAGGGATAAGAGTAGAGGAGGGGAACACACAGATAAAAGTTATACATGGTTCCTCCGTGACAGGAACTGACAGTCTTGAACATTCTGCCAACCAGCAACTGGAATTTTAAGGTAACAGAAAAAAACCCCAAAGATGTAGTGAATATTAAATGACTTCATATCTGTAAAGTTCTTGGCACAGTACCTACCCACCATCTTAACTTTTAAGATTTAAACTAGAATAGTGACAGGGAGGTGTTTAGGCCAAAAAACTAAAATTATGAAGCTGTCTGTTATATGAGTAGAGAAGAACTTAGTGAGATAAAGGTTAAATATTCTTACTGATATTCATTCAGAAGATTTGGACAAATCACCTGCTATGATGGTGCCCATGGGTGGTCCAGAAGTGGGTAAGACTCAGTGCTGGTCATTTTAGGAGCTTATAGTCCTTGACAGAGGACTATTAAGTTTTATGTGAAAACTTGAAATAGAGAACTGTAAGTTTTATGAAAACTTGAAGTTGAGACAGCACTCTTGTTTATTTTTTTTCCCTCTCTTTTATTCACCCCCTATGTTAGCTGTAATTTAGAGTTTGTTATAAGGTTGGATTTTTGTAAAGGCCACTTCTTATTTTTCAGTGGCACTACCAAAAAGCTGTTTACTCGTTCTTCTAAGCTGTATGTTTGATACATACATGAGTTCCCTAATGAGAACTTTTACCAAGAAAGGCAGTGTGACAAGTTATTTTATCTTTGTTGATGTCTGATGAAATATATGTATTATAAAATCTCTAATGAATGGTGAAATTTTTAGGTAAACTATTTTTGGTTTTGTTTTAGTATATCTTGATGTGTAGTAAACTGTAATAGAATAGAAATAGAAAGATAGAATAGAAAGATATTGAATAAGTGTGCAAAGTAACACCACTTTTCTTTTTGCTTTTCTTATTTTAAGAATATGAAAGAATCTTCACTTTACTGAAGCATGTGCAAGGCAGTTTACAAACAAGACTAATATTTTTACAAAATGTCATTAAAGAAGCATCAAGGTAAGTAATCTGTTGTACATTATCGTATGATGAAATGAGTCCCCAGTTTCTATAGTTGGTATTTTAACAGTATCTACTTTATACTTGTGTTGTTATGCATGTATATGACACACCAATGTGTAAATAAGTAATTCTCTCTTGTTTTTGGTTTATTTAAAGTTAAGGTCACTTAAAAAATAGCCACACACAAATTCTTTAGAAATCATGAACCCTTTCTCTCTACACATTACAGATACTGGCATTATTCTCATCTATCCTACTCTGTGGCTTTTTGATGTCTTTGTATTTTACAGTCTTTCATTTTTCTCTGTATATTTGAACTACAGTTAATATTAGTGATTAAAAGTAACTGTGAAAGGCAGTATTTGAATGCAGGAGTTCACTCGTACGTGGGAAAACATGTAATTAAGGGACGAGAGCCGGACAAATGAGCCTTATTCTGATTGCTTCAGTAGCCCAAGATTATGTACTTTAGTACAAGGAATGTGGATCAAGATTATAAACGGTGACCACAAAGTGCAATTAACTGGAAAGCATAGTTGTATGAGTTTAGTGAGTAAAAAAGCGTTTTTAAAATTTCTCCTTTAAGACTTTTTAGAATTCTAGTATTATAAGAAAACTTAAGGTTTATCTTATCTGACCTTCCAAGATACCGACCCTTTAATTATGCACCCCACCAATTTCTTCCATGCTTCATGTAAAGGTTTTTATTTTTTTAAGATAAAGCCATTAATCCTTTTTTTTTTCCCCCTCTATGAGTGGCTAGAGCATGGGCTACTTTGAAGTTTCAAGATAAAGGCCATAACTTTTCATATTGCTGATTTTGAATATTTAACCTGTTCTGCTCTTTATATAACATTCTATTAACTCAAACTTCATCATAGATTTAGCTGTATTCCTGGTGCCTGAATTCTATTTCTGTTACCTTTTAGAGAGTTGTATAATATTATGGTGGTTAGTTGTTATTAGTTTACAAGTAGAGAGGAAGTAGGTGTCAGCTGGGCTGTGTTTTTGGAGAGTAAAAAGCATCTGCATACTTCTGTACACATACTTCTGTACAAAAGCATTTTAGTCTACTATATTTATTACTGAAAAAATTTAAAAATTTTCACTTGAACTTTTAACTGTTTGCTATATCCTATAGTGAGGATGTCTGATTGTCCTTAACTTGTTGCTGGTTTTCAAATTATAATAGTAGAACATCACAGTTTAAATGTGACTGCCCAAATTTCATTTCTTCCCTTTTATGGGGGATTATATTTGCATTTTATTCATATTCCTTTCAACAGTGAACTTTCATAGAGCATAAGAACCTACTGGAGTCATTGCTTTGGGAACCCAGATTCCTGGAATGTTTATAACCTGTGTATTTATTAGGTTTTCCCCCCCCTGGTTTTCTTTTTTATTGTGGAAGAAATAACCTCTTATCCATTGTACCTAGGCCTGGATTGTTTGTTTTAGAAACACACTATAATACTGTACTGATAAAATAATTTGCTAAGAGATTTTATATATCATAAAGTTGTTGATTTTTCATTTTCATTTCACTTTGAAAAATCTTCTCAAGGCAGTTTTTCTCTTTAAAAAAAAAATTATACCGATATGTAACTATTTGTTAAAAAGAAATTGAGAGTGCTATTATACTTATTTCTTCATACAGGTTTAAAAAAAGAATGCTAATAGAACAACTGGAGAACTTCTTGGATGAAATTCATCGAAGAGCCAATCAGATCAACCATATTAATAGCAATTAAAAGAAAAGAGAATGTGGCCACTTATTTCACTACCTTCTCCAAATACAAAGTAAATACAAGACTGTTGTGATCTTGCATTCATTTTTTGACATGCATTGTTGGCTTTTTGAAATACTAAGAGCAAGTCTACAGATCCTTTTTCCATCATTTTACAGTGACCTTTTCTTCATTTTGGTTTATTTTTGTAATGTGAAAAGTATCACTCTAAAAAAACATTTTTATTTAACAAACTAAAAATATTCCTCCAAATCTCTTGCTTGTCATTGACTCTTGCGTGTCAATTTCCCTCAGGTTCTATTTTCTTAAACCAACCTTCAAAATTGTCACCTCTGTTAAGGTTGAACTTTGCCAAAAAAAATAAAAAAGAAGTTACTTTGTAATTTTTGGGGAAAAAAAGCACATACATTAAAACTAGGCAATGTTTTGTATATACAGTTATTTTGGATATATTATTGTAAGTTGTACAAATGTATTTTGAAGAATATTTAAGAAAAGCACTTTTGTTATTCCATCAATAAATGCTCTATTTTACTCCTGTGTGGTTTAGGAAATAATCACATTTAAAGTAATCATTTAAAACCATCTTAAGATAATGGAATTTTAAAGGCATTGCTTTTTAGCATTGGAAAAATACACCACTTGAAGTTCACATTTGTTAAACCTAACTGTAATGACATGTTACATAATCTGCATTGTCTTTTTACTCTGTTCTTAGATTTTGTTGGCCACTCCGACACACTCCGTTTCTGCCTAGACAATGGAAACATATCTGCGGATAGGCAGACTCTTTAAAACTGTTTCAAAAGCAGACACCTTTGAACTCAATTGGTTTCCTTACTTCCTTTCCTTCAACCCCTCCCTTTTCCTTTCTCACCAGGACTGTGGCTGGCACTAAGGTGAAGCTGTCAGGGAGTTGTAACTTTGGGGGACACCACATACTCTGAAATGTGTAGCATTTAGCAGCTTGATGCCATGCTTGCAGAAGTCCCACAACAGCCTGGGGGCTCCAGGGATCTCTTTGTTCTGCTCTGCTGTTACACTTAAACTGTCCATTTCCTTTAGAAGCTAAATGGAAAGGAAACCCATTTTAACTGACTTTGTCCATTCTGCATTCTTCCTGAGTTGTCCAGGATAAAGAAAAGTCAACGCTATTCACTGTCCACCCTCAGCCCACCGTGCCCTCACGTGTCCTTATTGAGGACTGTGAGCCTGTGGCCTGACTCGCTCACCATTCACAGGTCACTGCTGTGCCTTGTGGTGTGCTTCGGGGAGAACGAGTAGAAAAGAAGGCTAAAATACATTTAGGTTAAGAGAGGGCAAAACAAACTTATAAAATTACGGTAATGTGGAAGTATTTTTAGGTTCATAATATTTGAAAAACACATACCCTTATCTTTGTACACTTCAGCAGAATATTTTTAAAATTTCAGGGGTATAGGAAAATGAAATTGTAATTTTTGAAGAAAAGCATAGATAAAAGTGGAGAACATGCTTGAGCTCTGTTAATTCAGTGTAGGGGGTTCAGAACTCTCCCAATACTGAAGACAAATGCTGTCAATAAAAAAACATAATGTAGTTACATAGTATTTTCATATGCAGTTCTTTAAACAATTTTTTTAACCTCTAAAAAAATACCTCTAAGCAGGATATCACTTAGTAAATGGAATTGTTAAGATATTAATAGCTAGCTGCAGTAACATGGCTAAATTCAACATGAGATACACAAAATCCAGAATATATTGTCTGCTTTTAAATTATATATGTTTAGATTCTGAGATTAACAGAAGAGATTACAAGTTATTCAGATAAAAGTTAATATTTAACAAGAATATTTAGTAAAGCAACTCAGTCTGTTCCAATATTTGGCCACTTTTCCTTATCAGAATGTTCTTACTTGCATTTCACAGGTTGATCATGAGGTGATACTTTAGACCCTTGATCTTTAGTATATTTCAGGGCATGAACCCTAGAGGGAGTTGGGAAGAAGCAATTTGTTCTGTCTCCTCTTGTCCTTAATTTCTCTGCCACCACACGCTACACTCTTACCCCAAAATCTAGTCACAAGCTTTGAAACTCATCAAAATTCAAGCTTAATATTCCATTTCTTGCAGAGCTTATTTATTTACTTTTTTGTTTTTACAGATTAAGAAACTGGGGATGTTAGTTAAATTACTGAACTACTACATCAAAGGGGAAGGGGGAGTACATTGAGGGGAATATCATGTCTTTTAGGTCCTTTAGATCACTGGATGGCTGACTGTAGGCTGGACAAGTGATGTTCTCCAACAGTTTAATCTTGAGGTTAAGAGTATTTTTGGTAATGTTCTTACACGTGTCCCATTTGTCAACCGATTGAGTAATGCTTTGCCCTTATCAGTAAGCTACGTCAGTTTGGTGTACTCATTTCTGTCCTTTCAATTACCTTGTCACCAGGAGAGTAGCCACTCTGCCTTGTGTGATGTGAGCAGGTACCTCCCAGGGCGAGAGGCAGAGAAATTCATAGGGACTATTGCGGATCATGGAACTGGTGTTGGATTATATTTTCATTCTGTTTACTAAGGCAGTTCTGAAAACTCTTTTATCACAGAAACAGTGATGTGTCCTTTACTAGTTAGTTCAAAGATTTTACATCATTTTATGCAGTTGAATTCCAGAAGAGAAACTGTTCTCTCTTAACTGTCGTCAACCTTTATTGGCTATGAGCTTTTGACAATGACCCTTCTGTTCAGGTTTAGTCCAATCTCTTGTTTCTTGAGGGAGCAGAACCTGTCGTTCTTCATCTTAACTGTTTTTGACCTGTATCCTTTCTAAGAGAGGGCTCTCTGTTACCTATTCCAAGTGATAAGTGACATTTTCACCTAATCAGTCTGAGGTTGGGATGATCATGGTGAAATACTACGAGGATGTATTCTGTCGATGGACTTTTCTCTCCCCTAAATACTACGAGGATATATTCTGTTGATGGACCTTCTCTCCCCCAATAATCCCTTAATAGATAATTCCCTAGTGAATGATTATCTTCATCCTTTTTGTCACAAGTGTCTTTGCTTTCTAGCACAAATTACAGCAGTATGCAAATGATTCTCAGATAAAATGATGTTGACAGTATTTCCTTAACGATTTGTGTAAAATCTATGCATAATTTTCATTATTCTAACTTGACTTTTTTTCTCTCCATAAATAAAAATAATGCCTGATGTTTAGTTAAAGTAGATCCACTTTTGCTTGATTTTGTTAGTCCTGGTCCACTCTATTTATTTTTAACACATTGTTTAGACTTGCCAACAACTCTTTACTGAGAATCTCTCTTTTTTCCCCAGGCTGATGAGTAATTGCCAGAGAGGGTGGGGCAACATTCAGAGGAATCATTTGAATACTTGTTCACTGTTGTTGAGACTTCAAGGACTTCTGCTTGTCCTTCTGAGGTGCTAAAGGCTCTGCCTGTACCGTACCATCTTTGGATTAAGATGAGGTTGTATGGTAGGCCAAGGCCTAGGGCAAATATTTGATTTCTGTGTAATTTCAACAAGCTTGAGAAAGATAACAGAAAAGCTAGAAATGCAGGTGCATTCCCTAGAATACTGGGGGTGCTGAGAGTACCAGGGGATGACTTGGACACTCGTGGCCTGAATGAACTCTTTCATCCTACAAGGCCAAGAAAGTTCAGCAACAATGGGGAAAAAAGATATATCATTTATTTTACTTTCATGATTTTTTAAGTCCTCCCCAGAAGTAGAAACTTAAATTTTTAAAGACCTACATCAATCATAAATGAGCTGAGAGTAACAGAAGGCAGAAAAGCCACAGAGGGTATTGGTCTCCTCAGTAGTTATGAAATGTTCCCCTTTCTCAGGATACATGACATAGCAACTGGGGAGCTTTGGAAGCACTACAGAAACCAGCTAAAAGGAATGCTTGTTTTAGGTTGGGGTGGACAAATGAGCCCTTGTTGCTAGCGAGGTGCTGATAAATATTTACATGAATCCTATCAAAAATAGTAATACCTGTGTTCGGTTCTCTCAGGAAAAAGATGAACGGCCGATCCGCTTTAAAAATAGGAATCCGAGACCTTTTCAGTAACAACAGAGCTGCAGGAAAAAAAAGTAGAATCCCATTGTATTTTCTCTTCATTTGAGGAAAGTCACTATTATAATTGGATACAAAGTCACTTGATTTTTGAAGAAATAAAAGCATCCTAATGATACAGCATTGTTTTAGTGTTATGATGGGGTGCAAATGGGAAAATTAAAGAGAAAAGATAGCACTTGGCCAACACTGTGTCCTATTCTCAGAATATTTCATGGAATAAATTCCTTCCTGAAGGTAATTTTCAGAATGACTATTCCTTATTTATGGGGTCATGGTGCAGATCCTTTTCAAAATGGCTCTTTTTCTCCCATCATTTTCAAAAACTTGATTCTGTTAACTTCTTTTTTAAATGCTCTTATCACACCTGGACATGGGGTTTTAGTGGGAAGGCTTAGAAGTGTGAAGGCTGAACTGGATGAGTCTAACAAAGGGGGAGATATAGGCCAGCAGCATTTCTGAGTGTTGCTGACACCCAGTCCTCTTAGGCACATACCTGTGGCTGCAGATGCCTTAGTTCCTTCCTCTGAAACCTCGATCTTGGCTTTGTGGATCGCTTCAGAAACATAAAAGCCATCTTGGCCTAAGCAGAGGAAACAGAAATGGGATTATTTGCATTTTCTTGAAAGATGTGAGTACATTTTTAAAGAACAGGCTTAGTTATAGTCTTGCATGCTGCTTACTGTGGAAATAGAGATTTGGGAATTTTAAGGTGCAATATTTTATGCAACTTTCAAAGCCTCCAATTTGGTTAAGTACCTAATAAAGTGTTAGTTGCTCAGTCGTGTCCAACTCAATTGTGGTCCCATGGACTGTAGCCTGCCAGGATTCTCTGTCCATAGAATTCTCCAGGCAAGAATACTGGAGTGGGTTGCCATTCCCCTCCTCAGGGGATCTCCCCAACCCAGGGACTGAACCTGGGTCTCCTACATTGCAGGCAGATATACATTACTGTCTGAGCCCCATCTAATAAATAATCCCACTCAATATCCAGGGCTGTATCCCCATTTTTTCAAGTTAATTTTCAAACCTAATTTCTAGTTACTGTTGAAATCTTTAGTATTTCTAAAATTTCGGTGTATAAGAATTGCCAGAATATGTGTTAAAATGCAAACTCCAGAGTCCAGGAATCTGCACATTCAGCAAGCTTCTGAGATGACTTCCTTTGAATGCCTTCTTGGGCTGTATTTTAAGAGCCACTTTTAAATGACAGACAGAGGTTTGTACTATGGGCTTTAAAAGGCAATGTATTAAAAATATCTCATGCCATGTGACTGCATTCTGTATACTGAGCATATCAGTTATGCAATTACCTTGCCTCATGGGCTAGAATCTGCAAAGAAAACAAGAGGTGAGAACTATAATAGTTGTATGCCAACAATTTCAAAGGCATTATAAGCTTAGCAAGCAGGAATTTGAGTGGTAACGTTAGAGGAATGGACAGGTTTTTATAATTTAGCCATCCATCATGTTTAAACAGTTTGCTTGGTACTTGATGATACAAAGAATGAAAGCAAGAATCTTGAGAATGAGAAGAAACTAGAAATTCTCTGAGGCCACACACTTAACCAGAGATCCTGTTGGGCAGATGCAGGTGTTCTGACAGCAGATACCATGCCCATTCCCACCCCACCCTTCCACACAGATGCCATCACCTTGCAAAAGTGTGTTCTAGTCAATTCTAGCATGCCCTGGAAAGGGAGCATGTGTCAGGAGTCTTAAACATCGTGATGGACATGCTGTATTCTGAGGGGGCTTCTCTGTTTTATCTTAGACTAAATTGTTTTTGAGTTCTCATATACAATACGAGGGGCTGGTGAATGAATGTTGTGAGAGTACGACCAGCAGAGTACAGGATATGTGGCATTTCATCTGTCTTGTAAATAAGGGAATTGTGAGTTGGCTATGTGTTTGCTGTAAGGAAAAGGTCTTTTTCAGTGCCAGTGAAGGGGACCAGACAAGGGCCAGAGGGAGAGAAAAATCAATGCAAACATTCACTTGGCATCACTCATCCTAACACCAGTGCAGAATCTGATTGGTTTTAGCAGTTGATCTTTTTCAGTAGCATTTTTTAGAAAATCTATGATCAATAACTAGCCTGTCTGGCTAACTCACTGAGCAAACTGAAATGTGGGACCCAAATTAGAATTGTGTGTATAAGGAATGGTTAATGGTCATGAGAAGGTTTTACTAATCTGTGACTTCATTACTATCTAGAATGGCATCCAAATATTTAATGAAATGAGCACAGGTTCTCTATCGGCTAGAATATAGCTGAATACGTTTGTGTTAAGAGTCCAGGTGCCCTGGCAGACTGTGAGAAATGGTGCCAACTGGTTGGTATGAGTGTTTTTCAGTAGATGGACATGGCTATTTCAGTTTCTTGAAACTGCAACTGAGGAGCTTTTTTCTCCATCCTATTACAGGAGTGGCACAAGAAGTGACATTTACATGTTTGCACAGACATAGGCTTAAACCCATAGCCTGGCATGCCTCGACATCCTCGTCTCCTATACATTTTATCTCTGGTAAGAGTTAACATTTCAGAAGACCAGCATTTGTCATCAAAACAAGGATTCAGGAGTCATCTGTGGGTTTTATTTTTCTTCTTGCTTGATCTTGTATTGCAGATCCCAATTTGCTTACTTCTGTTAAGTGGCTCTGGATATGTTATGCAACTAATGAACTCAGCCTAGAGGATCCTCCTGGCTTTGGGCTTATTCTCTCCTGAAGTGTTGGCAACTGTCTAATGCCATTGAGGGCCATTCAACCTGTTTCCCCAAAATTTGTTCCCAAGGTTGTTTATATATAAAGGGTTCCATGAGTAATAACATGGGAAATGCAAATTGAACAGGCTTGTGCTTTTGTTTTTAACAGTGGACTTCTTAGAGTGGCTCATCTGTTCATGTTCATGGTGTTCATAGCTCTACAGGAGCACTGTCATATGTAGTGTTTAACCATGGAACGACTCACATGATCTCCTGTCCCCAAATTTACCAGGTTAGCGTTCTACAGAACCTACTTTGGGACGCTAGCTGCCTTCCCCTCAATAAACCCACTCATATTACATTTCAATATCCAAAGCAAATGAATAAACTCTTCTTCCATAACATCTTCTGTGTTTCCATCTGAACCTTCCTTTTTAGATTGTGAGCTCCTAGAAAACAGAAGCTGTATTATTCATTCTAAATATTTGTTACCTCACTCAACTAGCATAATAGTGCTTGGTACACATTGGTGTGTAGTAAATGTTGGACGAATGAATGAATACTGGGGGCTCACTCCACACACTGTACATTTGTTTCATTTCCCCTATAAAAACAGCTACCTTAATGTCCTTTCATTTGATTTTCACTCGTAAGGAAATGGTTGGTGTCTGTGGACTCGGGCATAGTGCAGGAGTCCTTGGCAAGTGTCATCCGAATGACAAGGCGCCCCCTTCCCCTTTGTTAGTGGAGCCCACGGTCCTTTGTATGTGGTTGGCCATACTCTAAGAAGGTTTGAGGGTTTTCATAATGTGACACTATAAACAAGATTTGCAAAATGTAAGCCAATAATCTGACATTCCATCCTCAGCTTCTCAAAATGTTGGACAAACATCATTGGCTGTGTCTTTTGTCTCCCCAGATATTATTACTTAATATTGGCAATATTAATGCTTTGAAAAAGTTATTGCCAGAATCTGTTTCTAGTTTATCTTTCTCCTCTTTCTCCTCTTCTTGTCACTTAGTTGTAGATGGAGAGTGTATGTCACATAGCACCCAGCCCAGAATATACAGAGTGCTGGAAAGAACCTGAAATGGCCTCTGCAAGTATGTGGTCAATTCCTCTCTCCATTCTTCTCCTCTAGCCCACTCCTCACATCTTGCTTTCTTGCCACTCTCCCAGCCAGCTTTGTTGAGGTGTAATTGACATGTACAATGTAAATTTCAGGTGTATGATGTGATGGTTTTAGGTATGTGTATATTGCAAATAAGATAATATACTTTATATCTGTACCCTTTGACCACCTTCAGCCATTCTCCCCACCCTGGCCACCACCACTGTGTACTCTGATTCTATGAGTTTAGCTTTTTTTAAGATTATACTTAGATTTTAGATTATATATAGTATATGTGAGATCATATAGTATCTATCTTTCTCTGACTTAATTCACTTATCATAATGCACTCAGGGTTTTTCTATAATGTTGCAAATGGCAGGATTTTCTTCTTTTTATGGCCAAATAATATTCCATTGTATATGTTGACACTTCTCCATGACTGTTATAAATAATGCTACCATGAACATGAGGGTGCAGATATCTCTGTGACACAATGATTTCATTTTCTTTGGATACATACCCAGATAGGAATTGCTGGATTATATGGAAGTTCCATTTTCTTTTGAGGAAACATGATACTGTTTTCCATAGTGGCTATACCAATTTACATTCCTACCAACAGTGTACAAGGGATCCCTTTTATCCACATCCTTACCAACACTTGCTATTGCTTTCTTTCTTTTTCTTTTTGGCTGTGCTGCACGGCTTCCAGGATCTTAGTTCCCTGAGCAGGGATCTAACCTGCGCCCTCAGCAGTGAGAGTGTGGCATCCTAACCACTGAACCACCAAGGAATTTCAAACTCTTGCTATTTCTTATCATTTTGATAACAGCCATTTTCAGTTTCTGTTGAGAAATCACTGGTTGTCTTATGGCGGTTCCTTGTGTGTAACTTGTTTCTTCTGTCTTGTGTGCGTGCTTAGTTGCTCAGTCGTGTCCAACTCTTTGCAGCCCCATGGACTGCAGCCCACCAGGCTCCTCTGTCCGTGGGTATTCTCCAGGCAAGAATACTTGAATGGGTTGCCACTTCCTTCTCCAGGGGCTCTTCCTAACCCAGGGACTGAATCTGGGTCTCCTGCATTACAGGCGAATTCTTTACCATCTGAGCCACCATGGAAGTCCTCCTCTCTTGCTGCTTTCCAAATTCTTTGTCTTTAGACTATTATGTCTTTCAGGGTAGCCCTTCTCAAGTTCAACCTATTTGGGGTCATGGCCCTCATAAATCTGGATGCCCATTTTTCTACAATTTTGGGAAGTTTTCAGCCAATATTTCTTTAAATAGACTTTCTGTCCCTCTCTCTTCTCTTTCTGGGATTCCCATAGAGTATATATTGTTCCTTCCCTTAGTGTATATATTGCTGGCTTTGAAGAAAGCCAACTACCGTAGGTTTTCTTCACTCTTTATTCTTTTTGCTCCTCTTACTAGATAATTTCAAATGTAATTCACTGAGGTTTTCTGTTTTTTCCTTTGCTTGATCAATTCTGCTGTTGAAGCTCTCTTAATCTTCAGGGCAGTCATTGTATTATTAAGCTTTAGGATTTCTGTTTTGTTTTGGTTTTTTGATAGTTTGTTTCTTTCTTGAACTTACTTATTTGTGTACTGTCTTCCTAATTTTGTCTGTCTGTGCATTCTTGTAGTTTACTGAACTTCTTTAAGAGGATTACTCAATTCTTTGTTAGACAGTTCATAGATCTCCATTTATCTATATAGTTGAGTGAGTGAGTGTTAGTTGCTCATTCATGTCCAACTCTTTGCGACCCCATGGACTATAGCCTGCCAGGCTTCTCTGTCCATGGGATTCTCCAGGCAAGCATACTGGAGTTAGTTACTGGGGTTTTACTTGTTTCTTTGGCTTGTATCATGTTTTTTTAACCCTTCATGCTCCTTCATTCCTTGCATTAACATCTATGTATTTAAAGTAAGCAGTCTGTTCTCCCAGACTTTACAGATTTGCTGAGGCAGGAAAAAGACCTTCACCAGTCAGCTCTTAGCAGCTATGGATGGGTGAGGCCTTTTATCAGGGTCTCTGTTTGAAAAAGGCTATTGCATGTGCTCTGAGGCTGCAGGGGTTGCTGCTGCCTGGGCTCTTTGGTTGGGTGGGACTGCTGGCTGGACTGTGCATTCAAGTGGAGCCACTGGGTGGGCTTCCTCTTCATGTGGAGCTTCTGGCTATGTTTCATGTTCGGGTTGAGATGTTAGTTCTGTAATCACCTCTGGTTGAGTGAGGTTGCAGGCTGTGTTCCCTGGCAGGATGGTACCACTGACTGGATACCATGATTGGGCAGTTGTGGGCTGTGCTCTGCAACCATTCCTGGTCAGATGGGGACTCAGGGTGTGTTCCCTGACTGGGTAGTGCTATTGGCTGGGCTCTGTGTCAGGTGGGGTCACAGGCTGGGCTTCGGCTTGGTGGTACCATGGGTTGAGCTCCAAGGTCGTCCACAGTCCCTGATCAGGCTTCCTGGTTATGTGGTGTCAGAGACTGTGCTCAACAGTTGGGCAGGGCATCTGACTTAGCTCTTTGCCCAAGCAAGGCCGTAGGACAGGCTTCTTGGCAATCTGGGTTCTCTGGCCAGGCTTCCTACATGAACAGGACATGAGACTATGCTTGGCGGTTGGGGTGGGCTGTGAACTTGCTTTCCTGCCTGGGTGAGTTGGGAGTATGGTGGCCCTTTCACCAGAGACCCAAATCCCAGAAGTGCCAACTGAGCCCTTTGGCCAGATGGGGCCACTGGCTTGGCTCTGCCCATGGGCATTGCTCCTGGCTGGGGATTTTGCTCAGGTGCCACTGAAGTATGCTCTTTTAAGGTGTAGCTGCTGAATGCTGTAGGCTTTACCCCCTTTCTCCATCTCTCTGATCCATGAGGCAAGACCTGATTGGGTCTGCCAGGATGTGTCCTGAAACACTCAATGCGCTGGATGAGCTGGATGTCCACCTTGGGCCTCTTCTCTTACTGGAGAAACCGTGGACCGACCAGCAGGCACTCTCAGTGCAGAGTTGCGTCAGCCTGGAGCAGGTGGTGATGTGGTCAGAAAAAAGCCACTCCTCTTACTTTCTTTTTATGCCTTTTTAAAAAGTATAACTTTATTTATTTACTTTTGGCCGCACTGGGTCTTCATTGCTGCACGGGCTTTTCTCTAGTTACAGCAAGCGGGGGCTACTCTCTAGCTGCGGTGTGCGGGCGTCTCACGTTGTGGAGCGTGGGCTGTGGGGCACGTGGACCTTGGTAGTCACAGAGCGTGGACTCAGTAGCTGCAGCTCTTGGGCACCAGAGCACAGGCTCAATAGCTGTGGTGCACATGGGCTTAGTCGCTCTGTGGCCTGTGGGATCTTCCTAGCCCAGGGACTGAATCCATGTCTCCTACACGGGCAGGTGGATTCTTTGCCCCTGAGCCACCAGGGAAGCCCTTTCTTCTTACTTTCTAATGTGGTCCTTCTCAGTCTCTGTTTCAGAGGGGTGCTTCAGCCTCACCCCTCAGATGAGGGCATTTCTACAATGTTGACATATGTATGGAGACTTGCTAGTTGGTCTTCTTGGGAAAGAGACTGAAGTCTGGAATGACCTATGTTGCCATCTTGATGACCTACTGCAGCTCTGCCCAGTACCTGGTATGGCATAAGTTAACTTCAGTTCACAGCCAAACAACTGGCTGGTTTGTTCATTCACATCATAGAAACAGGGAGCTTGTGTGTCTTCCCGAGCAGAGGTTGGAAACCAGTCACAAAAGTTAAGAATAAGACAGTTTCTTCAAAGTTTCAAGTTTGTGCACAAGGACTGTTTCTTAGATTAGGAAACTTGGGTTGGTACCAAAGCCTGCTCATCCTACAGGAAGTGGGACTGCTCAGAAAGTGGATCTCTAGCTGGTGACTTTAGTGTAAGTGAAACTGTCATTATTCTTAAGAGCTTCATAACATGTAGTGCTAAGGTGTTTTTCTCTAGGGAGAAAAACAGGCTAGGCCCAGCTGGGCCTTGAAATGATTTCAATCAAGTTCTTCATGCAGCAAAAATAGGATTTGAGGCCATAAAAGAAGAAATGAGTGCCTTTCAAATGGAGAAGGGGAACTTGATTCTGGGCTTTGGTGCCAAATAGAAAGAAAAAACCAAATGTTCCCAGTGGTTGTTGAGTGTCCGTCAGTAGTACAAAACTGTTGCAGCCCCTTGTTAATTGTACGACAGGAGACCAGTGTTTTCTGATCACTTACTCTCTGTCCAGCTCTCTGCTGATGCTTTGCTATATGATAATTTCATCTCTGCAAATAAGATGTGAGGTGGGTTGCAGCTATCCCATTTTAGGCATGACACAACTATTGTTAGATTCAGTGGCCGTGTCTCCAGAATTAAGTCAACAGCCTACTTAGGCACAGAAGTGACTAGTCTATTGATCATATTTCAAGAAGGTCATTGGAAAGCAATGTTTTAGATGGCTAACTCTATCTGTAAAAAGCCAGATATGAAATATTTTAGCCATTACAGAGCATATGGCATCTGTTGCAAAGTCTCAGTTCTGCCATTATAGCAGGAAAGCAGCCATGGGTGAGTTTGAATGAATGGGAGTGGCTGTGTTTCAATAAAACTTTATTTATAAAAATAGGTGGTAGGCCCTCATTTGGTGATCCCTGTGTTAGAGGAATAAAACTTTATGGGAGAAGATTGTAAGGTGGATATATTTTATCTGAAGGAAATAGGCATGCAAGCTTCCCACTTGATGTGTGGTAACTGCTTGATACTTGTTTAACAAGCCAGGTCCATAAGCCTATATTTCTGCTGATTTGAGCAAAAATAAGTAGACTTTAATTGCATTGTAAAACAAGAGGTTAGGTATTTTAAAAGGTTCTTTTTAAACTCAGCTGCTTGTTAGATCTTGTCAAAGGAGCTCTGAGCCTCAGAGGTCTTTACTGATAGGAGAACTGCATCATGTGGGTTGAGCTCAATTCTTTTTGAGGACACAGGGTTGACTGCCTTTTAGGATGTATTTCTGAGAATGATGAAGGAACAAGCAGTGAGTCACAGTGACTACTGGAATGTAGCAGTGTGGAAAAGAAGGTCAGAATGGCTCCCAAATTTTGAATTAGGCTGGTAAAAACAGGAATGCCATAGCTGAGCTCCAGAGCCACAAAAAAAGATTGTGATGGGATTGTGTTATTAAAGATAGACCGCATACAAATCCTTCATCCCTTGCTCTTTCCTTGCCTCTTAGTCTTTAGCTCTAGTCTTCTTTTCCTTGCAGTGCCAGATTATGTCTGTGTCACCAGGCGAAATTTCTGGTAGCGTCATTCACCAAGTCAACAGTATTTACTGGCTCCCCACTGTGTGCCAAGCATTGCTGGGGGGCACTGGGCCCAAACTTGACTATTGCTTTGCTTACTATCTCTTTGCATGTTTAGGCAATGAGTTCAGAGCTGGTGGAGTATAAATAACCTAGAATAGAGCCTGCCTCCTGTGTTTTCTGATAAGTAACTCTGTTGTGGAGTCTAACTGGTCACATCTAATACCCAAGCTGAGACTCTGTTGTGGACTAAACTCCCTTTTTTTTTTTCCCTGCGATGGCTGAAGAAAGAAATCTGAGCAAGGCTTTAGAAAACGTGTCTGAGCTATGAGGTTCTAGCATTCCAAACAGAGGTTTCATAAGCTCCTTGGGCAAGGAAAGCCTCAAAGCCAAGGCAATGCCTGCCCCAGGATCATCTTCGTACAGATAATTCATTACTATCCAGAGCAGCAACGAACTCAAGGAGTCTTTGGAGGTGGCAGTAGCTTCACCAGTGGTCTCCTGGGAGGATTCTGAAACATTAAGTTCTGGCCTTCCCCTCTCTTTTAACATTAGATGTCAGTTCTGTCAGACCACAGGTGAATACAGAGCCCGTAGATTAGTAGTAGCTTGTCTACTATGAGCCATGAAATCTAATACAGACTCTGGGAGGGATAACATTTTAAGGCCAGGTTATGGATAATTTGTGGAAGTAATTTGAAGAAAGGAATTGGATGGATGAGGGTAAGATCATTCGAAGAAGACAGAGAGGTCCAGGGAGGGAGGGGTCAGAGATAGAAACGAAGTGTGATGGTGGGAGGTCAGAATGATGGGCTCTGCTGTACCAGTATCTCTGGTATCTCCTATCATGACAGGCAGAGGGACGGGAGCTGTATAGTGACCTCTGATCACTGACTTCACTCTGAAGGTGTGGTGCTTAGAGGTCATCTCAAGAAACACCCCTGCCCCCACAAAGTCCAACCCAAATCTGGCATCTGAAGCAGCATGTTCTTATATACAGTAAAGCACTTTCTTTATTCTTTTAAGCCACATCAACTCTGGCTGTTTACCTCTAAAGGCTTCGTAGGTGTGAACCCCTTCATCAGTGCATGATTACTGATTAAAAACAGCAGCTCCTCCCCCGCCACACACACAATGCCAGTAAGCTTGGAAAAAGAACTGTTGTTACCTGAAATTCCTTTCAAGTTAGCTCTGAGTGGATCAAAAAGATCGATGACTCCCCAGGAATATAAAATGTTTTTCAAGTCGAAATGATTTTGGATCCTAAACCTAAAACAACAAAAGATATACACTTTCACTTAGGATTTTCACTCAGTGGACTTTGATATTCATCACATGACAACCCAACCCCCTCCCTTCAAAATCAGGGAGCTCCAGGCTCATTTCCAACTTCATCTGTCACTGCTCCTTCCCACACCCTGACCCCCTGACTAATCTGACCCTACAGCCCCCTCTCCCACCTCTGAACCTTTGCTTCTGCTGTTCTTTCCAGGTCTGCCTTGAATTTGAATTGTACTATCCTCTACTCTAAGCTCAGTTCAGTGATCACTCCCCTTCTTCCCCAGCTGTTCTGTGACCTTCTGTTCTTTAAGCCCCATTAAGCACTTTGTTCCACTCTTTTGATGTATAGAATGGTCTGTTTCCTATTAGTGTTATTTATGATACTGTAAACTATTTGAGAGAAGAGTCTCATTATTTCTTCATAATAATTGATATTTAATGAGTGCTTACCATGTGCAGGAAACGGCAACCCACTCCAGTAGTCTTGCCTGGAGAATCCCATGGACAGAGAAGCCTGGTGGGCTACAGGCCATGGGGTCACAAAGAGTTGGACAAGACTGAGCATGCATGCATGCATACCATGTGCCAGGCACTACCATGAGTATTTTATGTGGATGATCTCAACTTTTCATCATGTAACCGCGTTATTATTCTCATTTTACAGATAGAACACTGAGGCTTAAAGTGTTTAAGGAGCTTGCCCAAGAGGACGTCCTGAGTCTGCGATGGAGCGCGCCTGGACAAGGCTGATGGAGCGCAGAGCCTGTGCTCTTGGTGTCTAGACTCTGCCACCAGCCATCTGCCCCCTGGGTGGCCTCACACACAGTAGGTGCAGAAAAGCAGTTGTTTACTAACTGCCAACTAATAGCGTCTCGTTGAACATTTTTTCTGTTTGATACAACATATTTTCACGTTTGCTGTGTGCAGCGTGGGTCTTTAGTTTTCCCAGTTAAGTCCCGAGAGCAGGAAAAACCAGCCCACCAACTTTATCATGTTTCTTCAAGGGCAAGGCATTTAAAATTACCTTTGAAGGAGGCTTTAAAAGGACGAATGGCATAATTTTCCTTTGAGAACAAAAAACTTCCAAATTGGAATTTAGATGGTCTTTTCTATAAATCATGCAGAACTCTTGTAGAATAAAAATACTGTCCCAGACTGTTAAATATCCAAGTTCTTCACTGCCATAGAAGACAATGTGCCCAATATTTTAAACAAAGGTATCAGATTTTCCCGTAAATGTGTGTTCTGAATCTTGGCCATAGTTTCCAAAAAAGGTACCACTTTTCTCTAAGTATGCTGATATTTCAGAAAAATTAAAAAAAAAAATTGGCAGGGGGGGGCTACACCTCTCAGCATGTGGAATCTTAGTTCCCTGACCAGGGGTTGAACCCACACCCCTTGCATTGGAAGTGTAGAGTCTTAATCCCTGAACCACCAGAGAAGTTCCTCAAAAAAAATTTTTAGACTGCCTTCTCTGAAATTTTCTTAAATCCTTAAACCTCAGCTTTCTGAGAACTCTCAGCGCTGAAACATACTGGTTAAGAATATGAACTTGGGAACTAGTGCCTAGGCTTGAATGCTGGCTCAGCCTCTTACTAGCGGAGGGAACCTGGGCAAGTGACTTTGCCTCTCTTTGCCTCGGTTTTTTTACTTAGGAAATGGGCCTAATACTACTGCTCAGTTCTTAGTTTTGTGAATAGTAAGTGAAATAATCCTGGTAAAGTGCTCAGAACAATGCCCAGTACAGCTCATGCAGCACTTTATTGTTACCACTGTGGTTCTATTGTTTCTCATTGATATTGAGAAAGAGCTAAGGCATGTTTGAAGCCACGTATTGTGGTTATGGTAGGAGATAAAGCTAGGTAATACCATTTTTAGTAACTAAAGACAATAGTAAAAACGAGGTATGACTATGAAAGAGGACACTGATTTGTTTCTTGTATGGCTATGAAGGCCAGGCCAGAAGAGATGCTACAAAGATATCTTGACTTAGAAAAAACACCCTTTACCAAAACTAGACAAGGATATCACAAGAAAATGACAGACCAGTGTCCCTTATGAATACAGATGTAAAAATCCTCAACAAAATATTAAAAAATTGAATCCAGCAGCACATAAATCCCTCTATGACCAAGTGGGATTTCTCCCAGGAATGCAAGGTGGGTTTGACATATGAAAATCAACCCATGTAAAAAACCATATTAATGAAATAAAGGACAAGGGCAACGTGATCATTTCAAGAGATGCAGAAAAAGTACTTGTCCAAGCACTTGACATTCTTTTATAAAAACAAAAACACTTAACAAACTTGGGATAGAAGGAGATTTCTTCAGCCTCAAAATGGGCATTTATAACCCCCTACAGCTAGCATCATCCTTAATGGTGAAAGATTGAATGCTTTCCCCTTAGATCAGGAACAAGATAAAGATGATCACCACTTCTATTTAACACTTTACTGAAGGGTGTACAGGGCAATTACACAAGAAAAAGAAAGCAAATGTGTCCAGAATCAAAAGAAGGAACTAAATCTATTTCTATTCACAGACGACCTGGTCTTGTATATAGAAAATCCTAAGGAATACACACACAGAGTCATACACACAGAGAAAAAACTATTAGAGCTAATACATGAGTTCATCAAGGTGGCAGGATACAAGATCAAGACACAAAAATTTACTGTTTCTTTACATTAGCAGTGAACAATCTGAAAATGAAATCCCATTTACACCAGCATTGAAAGGAATAAAATACTTAGAAGTAAATTTAACAAAACCTGTACACTGAAAACTACAAAACACCATTGATAAAAACTTAAAGCAAACCTGAAGAAAATCAAAGACATCTTGTGTTCATGGACTGGAATACTTAATATTGTTATAAAGCAATATTCCCCAAGTTAATCTACAGAGTCAGCAAAGTCCATATCAAGAACCTGGCTATTTATTTGGCAGAAACTGATAAGCTGATCCTAAAACTCACATAGAAAGATGTGGAGCCCAGAATAGCCAAAACAATCTTAAAAAAGAAAAAGTTGAAGGACTCATACTTGCTGATTTCTAAATGCATTAAAAAACTACAGTAAGCAATCAAAAGTGTGCAGTACTGGCAAAAGTACAGACATTTGTACCTATAGAATAAAACTGGAAGTCTAGAAATAAACCTATATTTATGGCCAATTGATTTTGACAAGAGTGTCAAGAAAATTCAATGGAAGTCAGAACAGTCTTTTCGATAAACTTGGTTAGTTTTGCCTGTGAAACACCCCTAAAAGGTAAGGGAAGTTTTATTTCCCTAAAAACTTCTTCTCAGATAGCAGGCTGAATAGTCTTAGAGAGATTAAAAAAAAAAAATTTTTTTTTAATCCAGATAAGGTCAAGTGTGAATGAATACTTGGGTAACTATGACCTCTGCCTTCTTGTCCCTTCCCCATCCTCCGAAGTTTTTTTTGGATCTTTTCTCAAGGGATTGCAAGTTCTAAAGGCAGAATCAGCACCAGTGAATAGTTCTCAGTGGCGCTGGGCATCTCCCAGGGGCCTCTTCCTTATATCAGCTGCTCCAGGATGAGGCCAGCCATCTGTCTCCTACACTCAAAGAGACTGTAGCAAAGTCCTACTCCCAGCTGCATTTTCTCTCTATTGTTAGCCTTGAAAGCTCTTCTTTTGCTGAGCTTCTCATAAACATAAAAGAAACATCAGGCTTGCTTCTGCTCCATGCTAGAAAGATCTGCTGAAATAGCCAGTCTTTGGGCTTTGATTTGGGGTCCAAATACTTGGTTTGGAGAGATAGGCGTTATCTCTGAGTTTAATTCACCTTTTGCCCTCGCTAGGCCGATCCCACTTTAGACCTTGGCCCTTCACTCACTGGGTCTCTCTCTCTCTCTTTCTCTGTTTTTTGTTCCAGGGCCTGGACTTATTTTTAACTCCTCGAGGGAGCCCTGCCAAGGCCTCTGGCTCAGCAATGCAGAGAGCCTGGTCAGTGGAGGAGGCCGAGGTGGCCAGTGGGAGGAGCATGAAGAATCCACATGCTGCAAATGAACCCTCGGATAATTTTTTTGTTTAACTGCTGGTCTCCAAATTAATTATGCATTTACTCTGATTTCAAATGAAGCTTATTATTTAGAGATGTTCCTTGAGGAACCCTTTGTAAAGTAATGAGTTTTGCAAATTGGTTTTGCTTTGGAGAAGCAAAATCCAGCACCATCATTTAACTTTTTGACCTCTTGGGGTTTTGTATTTGTACCTATTGGGTTTTCTTAAAGAAAGGCTCACTTTTCTTTAGAAAGAATGAAACCTTCAGTGCAAGGATGTAAAGCCTTCAATTTTATGCCTCAATTTGCCTTCTGATGGGAATTATATCTATATTTGCTCAACTGCATAAGCGATCTTTCCTGTTTGGTTTTGAAAAATGATGGCTGTATACTCTTAGGATGTGATAAGATTTAGGGGGCACTCTTCAAGGTAACTGCACAGACCCTAGAGTCAGCCGCCCGGGTTCTGTAATCCAGGTCTGGACAACTGGAGCAGGCCGAGGAGCCCGCCGACAGGATGATGCAGCTGCTCACCTGGGCAGGAACACCTCCATCCGGGCTCTCTTCAGGCTGGTGGTCCAGGCGTGGAGGAGACTGGCTGTGAGGTGGGGCTCAATGTGGCTCAGCGGTGTGTCTCTGTCCCGAGGCAGGACCAGGAGCAGGCTGGCCGCAGTTCCCAGGTATGGCAGCTCCAGCACCCCCACCTGATGGCCCGCAGGGTCCTGAAACTGGCCTGGGGGATTCAGTGGATGGGGGAATCAGTTCTGTCCCGGGAGCCCAAGGAAACAGACAGTGCCGGACACTGGGAGGGGCCAGCTCCCAGAACTGGAAACAGTGAATTTTATTAACAATCAGCTATCCACCTCACCTTCAGGGAGCTGTTTGAGGACCAAGACTGTTGGGAGCTTGTGGTCACCTTGGCTGATCCTAGGACCTAGAACGTCTCTAAGGTATTCTCATGCGGCTTGAGTCCCGGGGCCTGCAGTGGCTGGGCAGGGTGGAGGTGCAGGCACAGGGGATAGCCAAACCCCTTCTCAAAGGGACAGCCACTATAATCCTGGCCTGTTGTTACCATATCAGGACCCAGGCTCTTGGTGTCAGATTTTCCTATCTTTCAACCAAAATCTTCCCAGGTGGCGCTAGTGGTAACCAGTGAACCAGTGAAATTGCTCAGTCGTGTCTGACTCTTTGGGACCCCATGGACTGTAACCCGCCAGGCTCCGCTGTCCATGGGATTCTCCAGGCAAGAATACTGGAGTCGGCTGCCATGCCTTCCTCCAGGGGATTGTCCCTGACCTAGGAATTGAACCCGTGTCTCCTGCATTGAAGCATCTGCCTGTAATGCAGGACATCTGGGTTCAATCCCTGGGTTGGGAAGATCCCCTGGAGAAGGAAATGGCAACCCACTCCAGTACTCTTGCCTGGAGAATCCCATGGATGGAGGAGCCTGGTGGGCTACAGTCCATGGGGTTGCAAAGAGTCTGACTGAAGTGATTTAGCACACACTCATGCAACCAGAGCTCTAAGCCTAGATGTCACATGAGATTTCCCAGTGTCTAAAGCACTGCACATGCATGTGTGGAGCATGCTCAGTTGCTAAGTCACATTTGATTCTTTGTAACCCCATGGACTGCAGCTCACCAAGGTCCTCTGTCCATGGGATTTTCCAGGCAAGAATACTGGAGTGGGTTGCCATTTCCTCCTCTAGGGGATCTTCCTGACCCAGGAATTGAACCGTGTCTCCTGCATTGGCAGGTGAATTCTTTACTACTGAGCCACCTGGGAAGTGCAAAGCATTGCAAAGACCGAAGGAAAGAGGAGTTCAGGATGGATTTGAACAGATAATTTGTACCCTGTGACATAAACAAGTGGGCTTCAGGATGGACAGCTGGGAGCTTGTGGGTGATGGCCATGACTGGCCAAGGACAAGTCCAGACCACTGGGCACAGCCTAATTTTAGAAGTGTGTGATAGGACAGGTGGCAAGTGGCAGCAGACACAGTGGCCAGAGATCAGGAGACTCAGAGAGGGTTTCTGGTGAACGCAGATGTAGTGGCTAGACCCAGTGATGGAACAAGGCAGGCAAACAGTTGGGAGCAATCTAGGTGAGCTGGGTTGACCTGGCAGCCTGTGCCTGCCCCAGTCTCGGGCAGAACTCCAGGCTCGATCCCTTCCCTGGGAGGACAGGGAGGCCTGGGCCTTAGGGTGGACAGACAGCAGAGCTGACTGGCCACTGCAGCAAAATCTTACAATCAGTAGGGAAAGACAGGGGCATGGTTCATACTCCTTTTTGTATCTGCTCAGTAAATACTTGCTCAGCCTCCACTGTGTGCCAGCCACCCTGCACTGTGTGCTGGGGAGAACAGGAACATCTCAGAATCTGCCTGCCAGCATCACCCAGCAGACAGATCAACCAGCATGGGTCACAGCAGCGACGGGAAAGTTTTAGGAGCAAAAATTATTGGGTTGGCCAAAAAGTTTGTTTGAGTTTTTCCATAATAGCTTATGGAAAAATCTGAACAAACTTTTTGGTCAGCTCAATGGCTCATTTGGTAAAGAATTCACCTGCAATGCGGGAGGCCTGGGTTCGATCTGTGGGTTGGAAAGATCCTCTGGAAATGGGAAAGGCTACCCACTCCAGTATTCTGGCCTGGAGAATTCCATGGACTGTATAGTCCATGGGGTCACAAAGAGCTGGACAGGACTGAGCGACTTTCAATATAGTCCATTGTAAATGTATGTTTACTTATTCAACAGACATTCTTCCATCCCCATCTTACTTGACCTCAGTTAATAATTATTGGTTGAATAAGCTAATGAATAAATGCACTGAGCACTCACAAGGGTCCTGAATGGAATCAAAGCAGGATGATAGCAAGTGTTCCCAACACCAAAGCTCCTAAAACACTGTTTTAAGTCTCACTGACTTCTTCTGGAATAAGAACGTAATTAGTCCCACAAGCTGGAGGGGGCTGAGCATGCAAACCAGGGTTTGGAGGGGTGACCAGGAGAGGAGATGTGAGGCAGGCAAGGCAGCGGGGCCCTTCCTCACTGGTCTTGCTGGGCCCCCCACCCTGGAGCATCCACAGCACACACAACAGTCTGCTGGGAAGGGGGGCTGCAGGTGCACCCCACCACGAGGGGGACGAGTGACTTCCGGAAGGATGGGCAGGCAAAGTGATGAGCACTTCCGGGTGGACATGCTCTAGGGAACCTTCTAGACTGCACTCTCCACCGCCCGTCATTTCTCAGCACACTGAAGCAGGTGTTCATCTTGAGGGGGAGACTGCCAGGGGAAGGGGTTTGCCCAAACAGTCATATGACTCCCCGCTTTGCTCCTTGCAGAGGGAAAGGCCTGGCATGAAATCGGGGTTCTCTTCCCCATCGGCTCCCTCACTGTCCTGAGTCTCCGCCTCCCTGGTCTTCCCTTACTCCACGGCGCGCCTGGCACCTCACAGCGACCCGTAGCCCCACTCAGCCGCATCCTTTTAGAGCAGAGCCCAGCCCTCCCTTCCCGGGCTCCTCCCGCTCACCATAGTTGACCTCGGCCATTTGGTACATCATGGGAACCTCGAGGGCCAGGCCCTGGGCGCAGGTGAAAGGCAGGAGCTGAGTATCCGAGAAGGAGAACTGATGCCGCCAGGCGCTCTGGAAGGACACGGTGCTCACCAGCACCAGCTGCGCAGACTCCGGGCCGCCACCGCGCTCCCACGTGGAGCCCAGCGGCCCATCCCCTGCGAGCAGAGAGCAGGGGGCCGCTGAGATGCTGCCGCCCGCGTGCGGCATCCTCGGAGGTGGGTTGTGGCTTGCTTGTTCGTACTCTTAACTGTGGAACTGTGGTGTTTGTAAAGAGCTGCCGTTGGAGACCAGGCTTTAATTTCTTTTTTTTTTTTTAATATATAGCTTGTGGGTGCTACCGGCTGGTTCCAGTTAGTTCTGGCTAGTTCTGGGTGGGATTGTTTCCCAGAAGCAGAAGGACTGCCCTGCTAAGGCAGACCCCTGGGGCGGGGACGGGGGTGAGACTCAAAAGTGAGACTGGGTGCTGTGCCCCGGAGATGCTACACAGTGCCGCCCCCACTCCCATCGCCCCAAGTGCTCTCGGGCCTCATCCCTGTCGGAGCCTTTGTTTACATGATGACCTCCAGGGCACGGACTTTTAAGTCTCTTGCCTTACGGAAGAGGGGAGCTGGCTGGCCGCCTGTCAAGGGGCCCCGTTCCTCCAGCTCTTTATCCCCTTAATAAACACGAACTTTGTGCTAGGCTCTGTCTTCAGTGCTTTAGCAAACCCTCCTCTACTCCTCCTACCAGTTCTGTTGTTATTCCCAGTTTTAAAGATGGGGCACCAAGCTTGTCCAAGGTCGCATACTTGTGAGCAGCAAAGCCACCATCTGCCCACTTGCCTAAGATGGAGACCTTGGACTTGAACCCAAGCAGCCTGGCCCCGTCTTCTCAGTGGTACCATCTCCTTCTTAGAGGGCCATTCACCCCTAGGGTTGATAGCAGCTAACCGTGGCCTTGGGTCTCTTGGCAGCTCCACGAGCTGCAGCAGGGAGTTAAGCATTTCGAAGTAAATTGAAAGACATTGTGAAATGTTGGAGCAAACTGCAAGAGGAAACCTCCTTATCAATAAAGATTTTAATGTTCACAGTTTACCTCTGCACTCCTCTGCACATACTGTTTCTTAATTCATAAAGTGCATGTTCCCTGTTCTGCCTTTTTAAACATTGGGTCTTCAGTGTTCTCCCTAGTTCTCTGTAACCTTTGTAATCATCAAGGACGCTGGAGCCAGACTGCCTGGGTTAGAATCCCCTGCTCTGTGGATACAGGGCTAGAGGCCCGATTCTCTGTGCCTCTGTGTCTCTGTTTCTAAAATGGGGACAATGATGGCACGTAGCTCTTAGGATTATTGTGAGGGAAAACTGAGCTCGTCACCACAGAGTACTTAGAAGAGTGCTGAAGAAACAAACTGAGCACTCAATAAGTGTTCGTGACGTTCATCATCTTCGATGGTCATTACAACTGCATGATATGTGTCATGCACACATGACAGTCAGTCCTATCTGACTTTTTGCCACACTATGGACTGTAGCCCGCCAAAGTGCAGGTGCTGATTTTCATTAAACCATCCCTAATTGCTGAACAGGTGGGTTGTTTACCAGTCTTTTCCTTTGATAACCCTGGGCTAGACATTTTATACTGTTATTACATACAGTTATTTCCTTCAGTGAAATTCCCAAGAAACCACTTTTTGGGCTCCTATTGCATTTTGCATTGAAGAGGGTTAGTGGCTGATGAGAACAGAGCTCAGTGGAAACACAGCTGGGGATGTTGCATGGCACAAAGTCTGCTGGGCCCCCTCTGCTCCACCCTTTTGTGTAGGGGGTGTGTGCGGGGGCCGTGTGTGTCTGCCCCTGGGGCTGGGCTGGGGGTGGGGAAGGGACCGAACAGAACCAACAGTGAGCCCTGCTTCACTCGAGGGTCGGGTTTCCCAAGAGGACAAGCCTCTGCTGCAGGTGAGGGCGGCCCGCGTACCCAATGCATGGCTTCTGATGGTAACAGCTGGGACCTGTCTCCCCAGCCCTCCTCCATTAACCTCATCAAGGTGGATGGCTTTTCCTTTACCTGTGGTCTGCCTGGGGCCCCATCCGTTGGCCAGCATGGCAGTGCTGTTGGGCTCCCTGAGATTAGCCAGCTCCAGGCTGCTGTTTGCCCATCGGGAGACCTGCTCCACGAAGCAGGGGGTGAGTGGTGTCCCCGTCTGCACGTAGAGGGTGCAGGCCACCTCCAGCTTGGCACCCGGGCTGGTGCTGGGCAGCACGGCATAGACAGCCCGCAGCCATTCTCTGACCTTGGGGTCTGCAAAGAAGATCAGTCAAAATAGCGAGTGTAAGACAGGAGTTAGCCCTGGCTCTGCTTGCTGGGTACATGGGAATGGGACCCCTTCCTCTCTACTCTTAGTCCTGAGGTTCATCTACTGTAGACAGCCAGTTTGGAAAAGTCATAGCTCAGTTGCTCAGGAGTTAACCTGGATCCACAGATGAAAAGTCGAGGGGGAAGAAACCATGCTAGATTTGAAAGAAATCAGGCTGTTATTGTTTAGTCGCTAAGTTGTGTCTGCCTCTTTGCGACCCTATGAACTGTACCCCACCAGGCTTCTCTGTCCATGGGATTTCCCAGGCAAGAATACTGGAGTGGGTTGTCATTTCCTTCTCCAGGGGATCCTCCCGACCCAGGGATCAAACCCTCATCTCCTGCATTGGCAGGTGGATTTTTTACCACTAAACCACCTGGGAAGCCCAAATCTAGCTGAGATTAAGTCAGATAGAAAAACACTACCAATCTCCCAAAGACTGTGCTTCCTAAACTTCTTGAGCCAGATATTTGCTGCTGCTGCTGCTAAGTCGCTTCAGTCATGTCTGACTCTGTGCGACCCCATAGACGGCAGCCCACCAGGTCCTCTGTCCCTAGGATTCTCCAGGCAAGAATACTGGAGTGGGTTGCCATTTCCTTCTCCGAGGCATGCATGCTTGCCAAGTTGCTTCAGTCGTGTCCGACTCTGTGCGACCCTATGGACAGCAGCCCACCAGGCTCCTCTGTCCACAGGATTCTCTAGGCAAGAATACTGGAGTGAGTTGCCATTTCCTTCTCCGAGCCAGATATATGGAGCAGTGCTAAAGCAGAGAGGCCTGGGCTGGTGGGCAAAGGGCTTCAAGTATGTACAAGGCCAGTGGATTTATGGGGAACATCACGAGTAGCAGTGCTGGGCAGTGACCAGGGTGTTGAATTGTCGATATCTCTGGTACAGGGTCTCATGTTCATCCCCAGGACTGCACGTCTGAGTAGCGTTTGGATGCAGTCTTTTGTGGAACTCTGCTTTCAACCTGGAAAATCTAGGGGAAAGGTAAGGACTCCTCCCATCCCCCTCATCTCTCTGAGCCCCAGCAGACAGCCCATTATTCATGTCAGCAGGAACCTGCGAGAGTGTTGAAATACCAGGCATTTGAAAGAGTCCGTAGCTTCTACCTTCCTGATGGTGGACTTCTAGTCATTTACAGCTCATGCAGGAGGCCGCTTCCTTCTCTGCATATTCACGGTGGAATTCTTTTTCACGCTATTGTTCACAACTGTGGCTTCTCATCTCCCCTGGGCATGTGGATCTACTGCTGAGTCACGACACAGTGGCGTGCCCTCCTGACCCGTGCACACAGAGCTTTTCCAGCCAGCAGGACTGCTTTGCGGGCAGGCTGCCTGTGGAACACGGTCCTTCCTTCTCCTTTTCGCCTCCCCTTCATCTTAGGGACGGCCCCCTGGCTGCCCACAAGTCTCCCCTGTGACTCCCACGCTCTTTGCACCCTCTGTCTGCCCACCGCACCTCCACCGGCTCTCCCAGGGCACCAGGTGGAATGACCTCCTACCTGGCTTGGGTGCCTGTCCATTCCATGTCCCCTCACAGATGCCAGGCCAGGAGATAGCAGCAGACGCAGCCCCCCCACCGCCCCCAACTTGCCTGGCTAAAGTCCTTCTGGGGGCAACGGCACCCAGAACACACCCCTGGCCAGGGTCCCCAGCCACCAGGCTGCAGGATGTGGTTGTGGGCAGGTTTACTCCATAGAACTTTCAGCACCAAAGCCGCATCTTAGAATCTACCGCTGTAAAAACTGAACTCAAGGCATATATAAATACATAGCCTAGTGAATCACAGCCTAACTGAAGTGCTTGTTTTTGTTTTTATAAGAAAAACTGTGAATGAAAAAATAACACTCATCAGATTGTCCTTTCTTGAGGAAGGGTCATAAGTACTCATCGAATCACATCCCTGTAGGATGTAGACTGTCTGCAGGGGTGAACGGAGACGTGTCTGTGGGCCTCAGTGTCACGTGACCTTAGGAGGCGTCACAGAGCTCTCCTCTCTGGCCTCTTGCCCTCTCTGGCCCCGGGGACCCGCCATCCTTCCAGACACACATGTCCAAGGCACAGTCAGTGGGCTTGAGAAATCTTATCTCAGCTGGAGCCTGGTTTGTCCCTACCATTAGCACATTGGAAGTGGTTTTCTAGATGCTGCTGGAATGAATCTATATTGTCAGAATAAAGAATGCTGAAGGTTGACAGACTCTGCTAAACCCTCTGCAAGCAGGATCACTTTTAATCCTCTCAACAACCCTGCGAATTAAGAGCAATTATGATCGCATTTATAGATGAGGGAGCGGGGGTTCAGACAGATTAATAAAGTTGCTCAGTGTCATCTGGTTGTTGGGGTGGTACCTCACCGCCCCCTGCCCCTGCTCCCTGCCAGGCGAAGGACAGGTGCGCTGGGAACAGTCTGCCCCTCTGCTGGGGAGAACCTCACAGAGCCTCCTGTTTGGATGAGTTGCCTGCGTTTCCTAGTCTTGTCTCTGCTGTGCTTAGTCGCCCAGTCGTGTCCCACTTTTTGCCACCCCATGGGCTGTAGCCCTCCAGGCTCCTCTGTCCATGGGGATTCTCCAGACAAGAATACTGGAGTGGGTTGCCATGCCCTCCTCCAACCCAGGGATTGAACCCACATCTCTTTTGCCCCTGCATTGGCAGGTGGGTTCTTTACCACCTGTGCCACCTGGGAAGCCATGTCTGGTGGAAAATAATGAAGGCAGGGGGCTTAGATAAATTTGTATGACTGCTCAGTGGCTGAGAGGGAGGCTAAGGAGTTGAGGAAAGAACACAGGATTTGGAGTCAGAAAATCTGAAACTGGAATCCCGGCTCTATCACTCACCTTTTGGGTGAGCTGAGTCTTAGCAAATCATTAACCTCTTGTCACATTGGTAAAACAGGGACTTTAGGAGGCTTGGCAATTGCATATGATTTCTATAAGGATCAAGTGATATAACAACTGTAAAATTGAGTCCACGTGTGTCATCAAACAATTCTTCCCCACCCCCATCTCTGAGGCCTCTGTTCCCGGCATTGTTCTTGTGTGTGACAGAAAGCTGAGACGTGTTCTTTATTAATTGATTTGGAAAAGCATTGGAAATCCCTAGAACTTGGACCATTGGGAAATCATATTTTCATGTGGTGAAAACAAAGATATTTTGGGGATATCACTGGTGCCTGCTCTGAAACTCATGCCCAGCTTTAGGACTAGCTGGTGGGGATACAGCAACAAAGCTGCTGGTGGTTGGGCACTTCCCTGGTGGTCCAGTGGCTAAGCTCCTTTCTCCCAGTGCAGGGGGCCTGGGTTCAATCCCTGGTCCGGGAACTAGATCTCACGTGCCTAGCTGGAAAAGAAGATCCTGCACACCAAAACAAAGATCAAAGATCCCATGTGCCTCAACGAAGATCCAAGGCAGCCAAATAAATATTAAAAAAAAAAAACAAGCTGCTGGTGGTCACCTATTGGCTGGATGTCAGTGAGAAGACAAGCGCCCATTGTCTAATTGCGAACGTGGATAGAGCTCTGTTGATCAGAAGGGAACAATGCCCCGAGCCCCTGGGCTGTGGGTTCAACTTCCTGGTCTGTGCTCCTTTGTAAAAGAAAGACTGGGACAGGGCAGGTGGTGGGCAGGAGCAGGTTGACTTAATAAGCACCCATGTGATTCTCTGAGCCATTTGGGGGAAAACAAATGCAGGGGTATTCCATTAACTAGAATTCTGCAAGCAGCACATTCCTGTTTGTAATAATTAACCGTGGATCCATGAGATAATGAAGCCATTTATAAGTAAGAAAAAAAAAGTGGGATTATGTTCCCCAGAGTTTGACCATTAAGCATTCTGGACGTTTGGTAATTCTTGAATGGGCTCTATGGAAACCCTGTTAATCGCCATACTTTGCTTAAGCAGGTACCCTGACTTTACCTGAGAGCAACGCACTGACTGTCATCAGGGTAACTCCATTTGCATTTCTCACTTTCCCCCTAATCCTGACTTCTGTGAGAAAATGTTTCAAGGCCGAAATGCCTGCTCCTCTTTCATATTCCTATTTGTTCTTCATAACCCAGCTCAGGTGTCTTGTTATCTGGGGAGCTTTCCTGATCTGCTAGTGGGATAAATCATTCCCTCCCCGGTACGAATGTATTTCACAGAAGTACACTTACTGCCCCTTATTAAAAATGTGTTTCTGTGAGCATTGTTCCTACGAGACTGACAGTCTTGTGTTCAAAGGGTTCCTTATACACCTGGCTGCTAAATTCCTGGCGTAGCACCAGCCCACACAGCAGAAGCTCAGAAATACTTGATGGATGGCTTTGCACTGAATCTAATGTGGCTGGAGAGTTACTCCACAGATATGTGCGTTTCCATAATATACTTGCCGGGCAAAATTCAACTTGATAACTTAACGTTTGTCTTCACTTATCCTAAGAGAGAAGACATTTGCAGGTCGACCAGCAGTCTCACAAGAATTATTTTGGCAGAGGACAGGGTATGGATGGGGGTGGGGTGGGGACAGGACACACAGGTAGCGCCTTGTGGCCTGCTGTCTGGAGTGTTCACCTTGCCAACTCAAGATGCCAACTCCAAGGGAGCTCTTGCTATGACTGTCTAGGTATTAGTTTCTGGGTGCTCTAAAAAAGGATTAATTTATATAATTTTAATTCTTATCCTTTTTCACTGGCATCTTATTCTTAGAGAAAAAAGGTGTGTGTAAAGTGTTTGTGTTTGGATGGAGTTGGGAGGTTGGGACCAGGGCCAGGCCATGCCAGAGGCCCCAAGTGGGGCCAGGTGTGGCTGGTCTGGCATCACAAGACTCTTGCCCTCACTGGCAGAGGTGTTCTGAATTATGTTGGTAAATATGACTGCTTAGAAGTCACACATTTATGAAAGCAGGATGGGCTCTGGAACCAGACAGCCTGGGCTTGAGTTCCAGCTTAAACTCATAAATATCAAATTATGTTGGTAAATATGACTCTGCCTAGAAGTCACACATTTGTGACAGCAGGATGGGCTCTGGAACCAGACAGCCTGGGCTTGAGTTCCAGCTTGACCACTTGCTAGCTGTGTGACCTTGGACAACTTGCTTACACGCTCTGTGCCTAAACTGACTTATCTCTAGAATAGGGATGATGAGATAATTACCTACCTCAATAGGGTTGTTGCTACAGTGAATTAGATTGTAGTGGTAAGGTGCTTCTAGCAGTTTCTGGCATCTAGTAAGCATTCTAAAAGGGCTTGTAAAATGCAACTGAGAAATTGCCGCCAAACCCAAGGGTAGAAGGGAACCTTAGAAATTTTATCAAGAGTAACCACGATGTGGGCTTCCCTGGTGGCTCAGTGGTGGGGAGTTCGCCTTGCAATGTAGGGGACGTGGGTTCGATCCCTGGGTGGAGAAGATCCTCTGGAGAAGGAAATGACAACCCACTCTAGTATTATAGCCTGGAGAGTCCCATGGACAGAGGAGTCTGGTGGGCTACTGTCCATGCACAAGACTGAGGGACTAAGCAACCACCACCACGACATAGAGTGTCAATGCCTTCTGTTGCACACTTGCTAGAGGGCAGCCTTCTCTGCTTGCCACCCGAGGCAGCCTGAGCGTGAGGTCAGGTGTGAGTGTCAGCAGGGCCATGAGTGTGAGCAGGGCAGTGGGCGTGAGCAGTAGAGTGGGAGGAGCAGCGGCCCACTTACCGTGGACAGTGTAGCCCAGGGCCTGGGCCAGCTGCCGGCCGGTGTTCCCCCGGGCTCCGAACTGCAGGAGCTCTAGGGGGATGAAGGCACCGGCGGGGGAGAGGACCAGGTTGGTTTGGTTGCCGGCCATGGCCACGCTCCGGTACAGGCGAAGCGCCAGGTCTGTCCTCATCAGCGTCAGGTCCTCATAGAGGTTGCTGGCTCCTCCGGGGGGGCAGGTGTGAAGGAGGAAGACGGCCAGCAGGAGAGACTGCATGGCTCCTGCAGGGTGGGGGAAGAGATGCAAGTGAGGCAGGAGCCACTCCATCCTGCAGAGAAGCGGGCCTGGGGCTGGCTGAGGATCACTTCGCAGGCTTGTTACCCATCACCCTTCTGCCTGCAGCGGAATGCTTCTCTGTTTCGGCCTTAGAAACACTCACTGGAAATAAAACTGTGAGTTGGAAGACCTGGATTTTAGGCCTGCTCTCTCATTGGAAAAGACCCTGATACTGGGAAAGATTGAAGGCAGGAGGAGAAGGGGACAACAGAGGATGAGATGGTTGGATGGTATCACTGACTCAATGGACATGAGTTTGAGCAAAGTCCAGGAGATGGTGAAGGACAGGGAAGCCTGGTAGTCCATGGGGTCGCAAAGAGTCGGACATGACTGGGTGACTGAGCAACTGTCACTTACTACATGCATGACCTTGGGTGAAGCTCTGGTCAGACCAGAAGCATTATGTTGGCTCAGAAACATGAAAAGTACGTCTAATCATTTTTCTCGGTACTTAGTTAGCTCAGAGCTGGGCCAAGTCTATCAGTAATAATAATAGTAATAACAAATAATATACTCTGTTAAAAAGGACTTTGTATTTTCTCAGTTAATCTTTACAACAGTCTTATAAGGTAGCTGTTATTATATTGCAAATATAGAGATGATGAGGTTTAGAGACTTCAGTGGGTCATTTAAGAAAACATGGGGATGGAAACAGGTCTGGGACTCTAGTCCTGGTCTCTTCTGGGTGACCCATGAAAGACTGGGCTTATAAATGCACATTGAAATATTGACCCATGAGCTCACTGTGCCTAGGATATCAGAATGCTTGTGATGTGAATTATTTTCATAAAAAGGACACTTTCACAGAGAGTAGAATGCTACAGATAGAACTCCCGCTACAGAGATGTACCCCTTCAAGGAAGAGAGTGCATTTGCTGGAAATTAATGCAAAGAAGAGAAAAGCGAGGCACAAGGTGGTCTCAGTGACTGTGCCACACGGACAGCCTGTGGCAACTTCTGTTCAGTTGTCTGACTTTGATATCAGGCAGGATTGGTGAGAGGGGGTCCCAGCCCAAAGAAGTCATCTGAGGATGAGAAGTTCTTATGTAAAGCCACTGGGCTCAAAGGTGTTTATTTCAGATAAAGGCCCCACATGGAAAAGCATCCTCTTTTTCTCAGCTCTTTCCTTCTGCAGCCAAGCACAAAGGCATCATAGGGGGTGTGCACAGGTGTGGGGGTCTTTCTCTGTGTGTGTTTGGAAGCCCCATTCCAGGGTCTTTTCGAAATGACCAAGTCCCAGTGGTCTTGATGCTCCTATCACTTCCCCCAGGGATGCAGGAATCAACCCTTCATGCCCTTAGGCTCCCCGTGACCACATCCCTGCCATGATTCACTGCAGACGAGCTATTCACTCACCTTCTCTTGGATGGGACTGTCCGAGTTTCCTTGCTGACTCCTGTTCTTGTGGGTCTCCCGTGTTAACGTGCTCCCCCTTTTAAAAAAGTGGAGCAGAATCTGCTTTGAATCACAAGACAGCATAGGGAGGAAGCTGGCAGTTGCCGTCTCTGTCGGCGATGTCTCTACCACTCGGTCCAAATTCCTGGAGCCTGAGGTCCCACAGAGAGCCAGGGGCAGGAGCCTAGCCTGGCCAGCAAAGCCCAGATCGGAAACAGAGCGGGCCCTGGGGAGGGAGCCAGCCACACCCGTCAAGCCTGCTTAGGCTTGTGACCTGGTTGTACCAGCGAGGAACCCCTCTTGTAGCCCTTTGTCACTTGGAGGAATTTCACTGATAACTCTGCCGTTAGGGCTTTTGCTGGGTACCAGGTACCTCATGCTTCTCCCCCCCTCCTGGGAAGAGAACAATACATTAGTCATTGGGCATGACTTGAAACTTTTAGCAAATGACATTCTGCAAAAAAGGGGGGGAAAAGAAGCAAAATATAGCACAATCAGTTTGGAACAAGGTGCCTTGCCTTATTTATTATTAATAAAAGTGAATGCATTTATTTATTTATATGTAATACAATAAATATTATAAGTACTCTAAGCAATCTTGTTCTCAAGATATAGCAGTTAATAAATCTGGTGACTCAATATGAGAAAGAGACTGTGTTGTCAGTTAAGTGAAGGCACATTTTGGGGAAGAATAAGCAGATTCTGTCCAAAGTCTGTCCTTGTGACCTAATTCAGAGTTGCAGACATTTCTATGAGGTTCTCAGGTGTTGTATTAAGTACAAAATACATGGTAGGTTACATGTCATTAGAGATTAAAGAAAAGAAGAAGACAGTTGGAAATGAATGCAGTTCTCAGTAATTTTCTCTCAGGCATCTGTTAGAGTTAATATTTGAAAAAGAATGAGACTCTTTTTCATCTGACCACCTCTCACACCCCTATAATCAGCAGGTGTTTCACTTTCAAGTGGAGTTAATTGCTGACACTCAAGCCTGGAGTAGTTTATAGCTCTTAGGAGAGTTACAACTCTAGAATTATTTCACATGAAATTTCCCCAGATCTTCAATGTGGAGAGTGCATTTTTTGCATGCCTTGAACTCTAAATTGTAGTATGATGGGGGAATAAATATGTATAACTTATTCTATAGCATCCAGAGTAGGCATCCCATCCATCCATCCATCCATCCACCCACCCACCCACCCGTCCATCCATCCGTCCATCCATCCATCTGTGCATCCATCCATCCATCCATCCACCCACCCATCCACCCGTCCATCCGTCCGTCCATCCATCCATCCATCCATCCATCCATCCACCCACCCACCCACCCACCCGTCCGTCCATCCCTCCATCCATTCCTCCATCCAGTAGCTCTTGCTTGCCTGCCAGGTCCTCAGGCACTGTGCCAGATCTGGTGGAGGTGGCAGTGGACCAGCCACCTGCTCAGCCAGCTTTCAGGGCACCTCGAGTCTTGCTCCCTGAGTGCAGACTTTTGATGGTGATGCTGACAGGTTTAAGAAAAGAGCCCTCCACGAGGAGGACTGTGGTAAATTACAAGGGCTCTCTCCCAATGCTGAGTTCCCCGTGGTTGCAATTATTTGAGCAGAAGCTCTTTCACTCTCTGCTCATGGTGGAACTGGGAAGATGCTTATAAAAAGGTTTCCCAAATTTGAGAAGGTTGGCTGTGTGACTTCTGCAAGCATTTCTTCCTACCTGACTCTAAGAATGTATCATTTTAGATTGCTTTTATATCCTCTAGAAAAAATGACTGAGTGGGAAGCCCTATATGGGCTACCATGTGTGAAATGACTAGTGGGAATTTGCTGTATAACACAGCGAGCCCAGCCCTGGTGCTCTGTGATGACCTAGAGAGTCAGGTGGGAGGGAGCCTCAGGAGGGAGGTGGTATGGATTCTGCTTGTAGAGCAGAAACCAACACAGCATTGTAAAGCAATTATCCTTCCAGTTAAAAATAAACTAAAAGAAAAATACTGGGGAGCTGAACATACGAAAATATTTCCTGTGTAGGTTAAATATTTCAAGGTGTTAATGAATGAAAGATGGGCAGCAGTTTTTCCTTTGTGTGCTCAGAGGTGAACCTGTATAAGCCTCTGTGTTCTCCAACCATTTAAGCAAAGGTAATCAAGCTTGTTTTGACCTTGCTGGCATATTGGTTTACACTGCTCAGGGAGCCTCCATTTGTGAGGATATTTACTGTAATTCTAGCAACAAAAACAGTGACCATTATTGAGCACTTACTATGTTTCCAGATACTGTGTTACATCCTTTCCATTCACTATTGCAATGAATCCTCCCAACAGTCATATGAAGAATGTATTATTATCCCTGTTTTGGAGATGATGAGACAGACTGGAAGAGCTCTAGGTGCTTGCCCAGGCTCCTGCAGTTGGAGGTCCAGCTGGGTGCAGGGTGGGTCGTGGGCTTACCCACGCTGATGAGCTCTGGTGCTCAGCCCCGCTGCTATGCAGTCTGGAACCACCCTGAAGAGCAGATTGGCCTCAGAGCTGGCTCCAAATAATCTGGAAACAGGGAAAATTAGGCAGAGAGGAACTAAGGTTGGAAATAGAAAAAAGGCATTAAACTGTGTTTTGGATATTCTGGTTCTGAAGAGCTTGCTTTCGGTGTTACTTTCTCATACATTTCAGTGTGATTAGCATTTTGGCTGTTTTTATCAGCTGGATTTTAAAAGTGATAATAAAACAAGAAGACTTGAGACCATGCCATGTGATACTCTCTAGCCTTCAGTCAGGGGTAACTAGACAAGAAAGGCCAATCCTCACTAAGCCAGTGTCAGGGATTGGCAGGAAAAAATCAGTGCAAAAAATCTACCCAAGGGCTGCAACCCAGGACAGGGGCCTCTTCTCTCTCACTGCAGAATGTGGGCATCAGTGATCTATTACAACAGTATTTCCTGAGAGCCTGGCCTTGACCTCCAAGGCTTCTCTGAGGGGGGTTTGTGGGAGCCACATTTGGCAGGGGGACATGCTGTGTGGCTTAGGGGATCTTAGTTCCCCAACCAGGGATTGAACCTAGACCCTTGGGAGTGAGAACATGGAATCCTAACCACCGGACCACCAGGGAATTCTCAAGGGAACCACTTCTGATTTATCATAGTTGGTTCATGTCGTGACCAACTCAGCCTGGTATGACAGAATAACCCAGACTGGGTGGCTTAAACAACAGAGATTTATTTTCACAATTCTGAAGGCTGGGAAGTCCAAGATCAAGCAGATTCTGTGTCTGATGGAGGCCTGCTCCCTGGTCAGCAGACAGCCAGCTGCCTTCTCCTTGTATTCTCACGTGCAGACAGAGACAGAGGTCAGCTCTCTAATGTCTCTTCTCATAAGGGCACCATTCCATTCATGAGGGCCCCACCCTTGTGACCTAGTTACCTCCCAAAGGCCCCGCCTCCTATTACCATCACAGTGAGGATTTGGAATTCAAAATATGAATTTGTGGCAGGGAGGGATAAACATTCAGTCCCCCATCAACCATGCAAAGAAATGTATTTGTCGTCCCTGAACTG